GCCACACTCGCACGGTCTCTCTCAAAGCTGGACACAAGAGAAAATTGGTGTTTGAGACTGAAAATACAGCAATCTGTGATCACAAAGCCATCAGTGTTACATTCCCAAGGATGGTCAGTGCACAGCTATCGATAGATGGTTATTGTTTGATTTATTTTTCTATCGCATGCTCTATCGATATGGTCACTTATCAGCTAAACAAGAGATTTGAACAGCTGAGCGTTTTAAAGGGATTACCAATTAGCCTTACTGGGTGGAATATCTAGCATCAGTTCATTTGAAAAGGTCAAATGTTGTGGAAGTGAACGCCAGAGAAGTCTTATTGAGCTGCCATGTTTCTGGGTGTCATTTAGTTGAATTGTGTATAAATGAGAATGTTTGTGACATTGCTCATCCGCTTCTGTCCTAATGAAATAAACACATGACACTTGGGTGTGGAATTCCACTGAGGTGTCATCCTGGTCTACAGCCACACCTATATGAGATTATAAACTCGTTAGGAATAATGTCCCCCCCCGTCACAGTTTACAGCATCTGGGGTGACGCAAACAGCTGTCCGTCAGATCAGCAGGTCATTCAGGGTTGAATGTTTTCTGGTGTCTGTGGGATTACTTTGCATGTATTAAAAGCTAGTAACGCCCCCCCCCCCCCCCCCCTTTTTTCTTTTCTTGGTAGTTATATCCCTGTATTTCCCTATTCCTGAAAGGCCTTCACATTCAGCTGATGGCCAGCACGCAAAGATTGTTTTAATGACAATCTGTAAATGATAGATAGCTTCAGAGTGGCATGAGTCACGTGAGCATCTGTGGGTCCTTTCTGAACAGAGCAGCACATATGCGGACACTAGTTTCCTCTTCTAACAAGAGTCAACAAGTGAAGAGTGAAGTGATTTCCGACGTACCCAAGGTTTTTTTCTTTTTTCTTTTTAAAGCTTTGATGGCCACGATTAGCTCCGTCATTCACATCCTCCCCATGTCTGGTTTATATTTAGTTTGCATGTTTATAACATTTTGAGGTCTCCATGGTACAGTTGCAGCTACTGTACTCAAAGTCGAGAAAACAAAAAGGACGAGTATATCAGAAATAAATTGTAGGACGACACCTTGGTTTACTGTACTAAAAATGGAACAATAATTCAAGAAGACAGTGTCATACTCGGTTAGGAAAAACCCAGTCACGCTGCATTTTTGGCATCATTTTATTAAGCCTGATTATTTATCGCATCCCATTTGGGCTTGAGCCGGATTCTCTTGTCGTGCAGCATTTTTTTGGGCTGCCACTTGGTACAGTGCATTCTGAACTTTGTTCCGGCATGCACATATACACCGAGTGGATTAAGCAGAAAACTAAAAGGAAAGCAGTTTGTGCAGTTTCACTACATTCGGTGTTGTTCTCAGTTTACAAGCCTCGCTCCCCTTTACCAAGGGGTTAATTAGCAGCTACCCTCCCAATTGTCCTCTGCTTGTTCACTCTCATTAGTTTAATCTGGCTGTGTCCTCCAGCTTGCCTCTCTTGCTTCTATCCTCTTGTGCACCAGAACATGTCTCTGCCTACTGCTTCCCTTAAGTCATCAGGCTGACAACCTTTATTTACCCCAGAAATCTGCCGCCAAACCCCGGTAAACAGACTTGTGCGTTGTGGCCTCTTGCAGATCCCATCATATAGCTTTTTAAACGAAAAAGAGACATGAGGGTTTTGGTCATTGTTGTGTTTTATAAAAAAAAAGGCATAAAAATGTCTCTGGTTCCATGTCCTGGGAGTAATCTGATTGTGACTGCAGTCAGCTAACAGGGTTGTGCAGCCTCCCTGTATGACAGGAGCTTGTTTTAAACTGAGCTGTTTGCATATATCTGTGTTAAACAATTGCTGTCAGAAGTGCATTTGGAAACCGTTGTTAATTTCCACTTTTGTCCTGCTTCTTTGTCAAAGAAACGTGAGCAGAAATAATCTGAGAATTTATCAATCTAAATTGTGTGAAAACGGACGGAGCGTAGATGATTATTACCGTTTGGGAGGAAGAAATAACAATGAACTGTGTGTCTGCATGGAGTCAAATTACACTTCCTCTCTCCTTGTCACTGTGCTTGAGATGTCGGAGCTGATAGGAGTGGCTGGAAAATGTGAAGTCTGCTTCCCCCCTCCTCTTTCTCCTCCTCCTCCTCCCCCTCCACCTCACTAAAAATAGCTAACAGAAAGAGAAGGCAGCAAAGTCGAGGCTCTATCTGTAGGGCTGCCAGTGGTTTCAACACTCCCACCACTAGCAACAGAGGGAAAAAAAGTCCTCTGAATCACACCACTTATGTTAATGCTGATCACCACTGAGGAGTATCATCTTATTTTTGTGATTTTGCTTTTTGCATTTCAGATCTAAAATTCTTCACTCCACTCACATGATAAAACCCACAAGGTAAATTCTTGATTGAATTACTTTTAAGGGGAGAAAGGTTCCGAACACGACTGCCTCGGTCACATGATCCAACCCAACTCAACATGTTCTCGCATTTAAAGCCATTAATTCCCAATAAAACGCATAACTTCATCTGCTCACATGTGTGGAGGGGGCCCTCCATTTTAATAGGTCAGACCCAAAAAACGCAGAGATTATTCAGGAAATACAGCCATTTTTAGATAACAGGCTCAGTATGACTTCAGAACTGTAATAATGTGATTATAATCATTATGTATGCTTTTAATAACCAATCTGATGGTTTTTACAACTTTTTCTCATCTTTTTTTTTCTGTTGCTGTCTTTCAGATTCATCCACAGCCAATTTACATTTAGCCGCCTTTGATTAATAAAGCTGTTACAGCCCATTTTTGTGTCTGGGACAGGATAAAGGGAGTCCTCTTTCTTTTTTTATTCAGTTTACTTGAAAGTAGCTCGAGGTTGAAGCTCCCAAAGGGCACCAGTGGTTGTATCGGTGCTTTTTTTGGTGCAGTAACAGCAGACAGTAGGGTATCTGCACAGAACGGATGCTCTTAGCACATTATTGGAATCACTTGTTGGATGTCGGCTCTGTTTTGCATTGGATCCACTGCAGTGCAAAGTGTTTGCCAACAACACTTCGGAAATGACAGTAAAGATAAAGATACCTGGGTCTTACTCAAGTAGAAGTGAACTCGTACATGAATGTCAAGTTTCATCTCCTTCAAATGTGCATGGCAGTGACCGCCATGCTCCGATGTTTGTGTTTGAGACCCATATTAAAACCAGGTAGAGAAAACATTGAATGAAGTCAACTTTGAACAAAGGAAACAAGCTGTGGGTTTAATTTGAAAGACTTGAGATGATTTTAGGTCCGTGTAGTTGAAACCTAACAAACAGGGGTGAAGTGCTCAGCTATTTTTACATTCTACCTAATCTAGACCTGATTAACCACCCAACATATCTTCAGCCTATTTCTTTCAGATGGTCAGTTTGGTGTGCTCCGCTTTCTAAAATCTGCTGACCTTTTCGCAGCTTTGTTGGAAAGTAGCCGTGTGTTGCTTTGTCAAGTGCACACAGGGTTATCACAGAGGAGACGAGAATTATCCAGTGATATTACCATGAGACCTTTTTATCACCAAGATTAGGGGGCTAAGACGCCTTGCTTAGATGCAGACCCATTTAGCAGCACTGACCAATCAGGTCACAGGTAGCTACCAAGGTCTCAGGTATGTAGGATAAGGCATTCATTCAGAAGCTCTCGGCATTCTTCAGGACAAAGGACCCTAATCGAAACCCAGAGAAGCAGCGGAGGTAAGGTCGGTTTGCTGTGCAGATACTGCTGGAATCTTTTGGTTAAAAGAAAGCCTCCTCTTAACAAGTTTCCTTTGAAATTATTTTAGGTTTAGGAAATGCTGAAGCTTGAGGGTCCTTAAAACATGTGAAAATGGATGAAATCCCAGCAGCTCCCTGGTTTGGATGGAGTCACTGAGATTAAAGTTTTGTTTGGAGGGAGGGTCTCAGAAAATTTAATTAGCCGACTTTCTTTACTTTCTGTTTGTCAGTAAACAGTGATGACTGCTTTATTTCTGCCGTGTTCTCAGTGTGTGGTTTATCCCTAGCAGCTAAACCAGTCAAAAATACCTTTTTTTTTTCTCTCCTCCTTTGTTGAACTTTTTGTCTTTTAGTGGTTAGTGAAAGTGTCGTTGGTAAGAGTGTCAACCAGAGGATTGGGGTCAGCGGGATAGCCGCTGCTTTTAGGATCATCAGCAGGTTTTGTCTTAACCGGATTTGGCTGGAGGAGCTGAATCAACTGTGTCCCGGGATTACAGGGATGACATTGGAGGGGAGTTTAGAGTCCACAGGCCAGAGCACTGACGGCGTTTGTCAAACCCAGCCCCTCATCTGAGCACCGTGGGGCTCCAGCAGTGCAGCAAAACCCGAGCTGGTCTCAAGCCTCTCTGCTTCTTTTGATACCCGGACAATAATCCTTTCTTAATTTTGGCAGTTTGACAGGAGGGGTATGCTTTGTTTTCCTGTTCATCTGGATACATCTTTTTTACTTTGTCTTTTTGAGCAAAGCATCAATTGGGCTTTGACTTCTGAGGAATGGTTATTAGCTGCTCATAGTGGCCAGATGTTTGAAGAAGGGTTTGCTGTTGTTTGGGAGGAAAGAGTGAACAAATTCAATATCATCCTCAAATTTGTTATCTTAAGCCTTAAGTAGCAGTCTAGAGCTTGTTGCTAGGTTACAGTTTCAAGCTGGCAAGGACAAGTCTTGAGCTGTCTCAGAAGTGATTTGCTTTGTCTGAGCTCCGCAGATTGAATTTATGAGCTGCTTTTTGCTGAAAAATGTCCATGAATTAATTACAGAAGCGATGTGTCTCATATGGGCCGCACATACAATCCAAAGCCTTTGCGTTTTTGCATGAAACATCCATCCGCTACAAGTGTGATTAAACTTCTGTGGATTTTTATCAGTAGAAGGTAAGCATGCTCATTTTCTCTCTCCTTGTCTCCTTTAGATCAGCAAGAGTCTAGGCGGCGGAGCAAAGCACACCATTAGCAGAGGAAAATGAGTGAACTGGATCAGCTACGCCAGGAGGCTGAGCAGCTCAAGAACCAGATCAGAGTAAGTCCCCTCCGGAGGTTACACTGTTCCTATTTTTTATTTTCCAGCTGGGTTTGACATCTTGACTGATCTCAGTTTAAGTAATTTAACATACGCGTCTAAGTATTTTAAGCATTTCAGCCTCTAATGGTATGCAAAAATGCATCATAACTCACTTGGATGATGCCAGCTGAGCTACAGTCTAAGATACCACACCTGTAGCATCGCATTGATTGCCACAGTGAAACAACTCATCTGTCCACATGTAAATTTGTTGTTATTGTGTTTCAGGATGCCAGGAAAGCGTGTGCAGATGCTACCCTGTCTCAGGTAAGACGTACTCCGTAATCTATCGACAGGCAGATGGAAACCAGCTTTGACTTTGTGGTGCTGAGCAGAGACATTCAGAACACGATTTGAGGACCGTTTAAAAGTGATGGTACAAAATTCAGATCCATGCAACGTTGAAACTTACCCCCCCCCTTTTTTGGTGTCGTTCAGATCACAGCTAACATCGACCCTGTTGGCCGAATTCAGATGCGCACCAGACGGACACTGAGGGGACATCTGGCCAAAATCTATGCCATGCACTGGGGCACTGACTCAAGGTAATCTCATTCAGCCGGTAAACTCCATGTTTCCCCCCGAATGCACGAAGTGGATGTTAAATCTTCAATATACTGTTTTTTTTTCATCCTGGCGTTCCTTTTACCGTCAGAATTTTCCACAATGGCGTCACTTTACATCCTAAAATAAGTCCTAATCCCCAAAGTAATTTCTTTTAGACATTAGCTCAGGTGACCGCCTCAGCACATTTAAAGCTCATTGGACCTGCGTCAGTCACCCTATCCTGGAGCGTGTCTGTTTTGTGTGTCTGTGCCATGTTTGTGTGCATTAACATCAGATATGTGGGTAGGGAAAATACTCAAGATGGAGTCGGCCTTTATTAAGGCAAGTGTTAGGGCTAATGGCCGTGGCAGGTAAGGAATGAAGCTTATTTCTTGGTAAGCCCTTTCCCCAGAGCGGCACACTCCCCTCTCCTCGGCAACCAGCAGGTTAATCACCGAGGTGCTGGTGTGCATCAGTCCTCAGAGACACAAGCTGCCCGGTTACCTCAGCATTCAGAGGCTGTGCAGAGAAAAGAGCTCGCTGTCAGCTGGCTCTGTTTGGATTTCAAATTTGTGTTGTTTCATCATGTTCCAGAGGACCTAAAGTGTTTAATTAGTCTATCATAGAAACTCTGAGATTCAACTAGCCAGAAATATTGTCAGAGAGATATTTTGACCCAAAGTCTGGGCTAAACTGCTATTTTTAGGTATAAGGAGAGACACTACTTGAATTCATACCTCCACGGATTTCCACGAGACTCCATTTATTTCCCCACCCCATACATACCGTCTGTTTCTCCAATGCCTGAGGTGTAGCACCATGTGAAAGCTGTGAAGTTTGGAGAAGCTTCAGAAGCAAAAAGTTATTTCAAATGCAACATGTTTAGTTTAGAGTTTAAACAGGGAAGCAGCTTTTAGCAGGAGAAGCTTCAATGGACTAAATAACTTAAATCCTAATGCAATCGAGTTTGAACTCTGTAACCACCAGCTGACCTGCCTACTGTTATTACTATTATTAGTGATAAAGTTAGCATTGCGTCTCAGATTTTTTCTCATTCTTAAAATAAATTAAAGAAAATATTTTAAAATAGTGTCGTTTAATGTTCTACATCCGTTTCATCGTAATAAAAATAAAGCAGGGGTGAGACATTTATTTTCTCTCTGAAGCGAATAAAACACATCTTTGCTCTTTAGTGAAAGGAGGCTCAGCCTGCGCTCTCATTGTGGGAATCCTGAACCTAAAAAGAAACTGGACACATACAATTCTGCCGTTTTTTTTGTTTTGTTTCTTTCCTTAGTTCAAAATAAACACTGCTGTGAACTTAGTTTGATCTTTTCCTCATTTTAAAGACCGTCTCCTCTTAGCCTGGCTAACGTCAGAAGTCTGTTCTGACAAGAAAGGGAGCAGCTCAAAGCGTTGCATCACAGCTCCCAGCTGACTCATTCTCTCTTAAAGTTCACCGGAAGTTGATGTGCAGTCTGAGCCTAAGTTGGCACATTGTTACTTCTGCTTGGGAAGGGAATTTTTTTTTTTTCCATAGTTTTGGGGGGGGGGGGGTTCCCTGAGCAGGTAGTCTGATTTTTATTACACTTTTTCACTCCTCCTTTTGTCATTCAACATTCAGTGCCAGTGAGCATGTGGCACTCCTATCTGTGAGCACATCTCTGCCTGTTTGGTAGTTAAAAGTGCCATCGTCCCCGTAGCCTTACCTTTGTTCACTCCTTTTCCTGTGCCATTGTGCTTTGGGACCATCACTGTGGTTACTCTTGTCTGATTCACCCAGATAGCAGCGCCCAGGCACATAGGTACTCAGGAGATGGCTCTAGAACATTAAAAAAAGAAAAAGAAATTGGTTAGTTAAGCTGTTATTATTCAGTTGTGTTGGCTTAGAATTCTCCAAGTACCACCTTTACTCAAATGGATGCAGAGGTCTTTATTTACCAGCTATCAACTCTCCATTAGAAGCAGGTCTCTATTTCTGATTATCTTTGAGCAACACTTAAGCCAGTTCCTCACAGCAGACTGAGGACTAAGGCACGGAAACTCTTTGCCTCCTTTCCCTGTACCTGCACTCAGCTGTAAGTCAACCAGAAACGCGGCACCCCATGCAGGGCGCTCTAAACCTGCAGACCTCTGCTGTCATTTACAGAGCTCACTTCTGTGGTGCATCATGGACAGACGCCACATAAAAAGCAGAAAACAGGCTAATGAAGCCTTCAAATATGACTGAACTGAACAAAGCCACAGCGTCTGATATCGTCTGTAATAAACTACATAAAATGCCTGTTCTTAGCATCAGAGGCATCTTTGACACATGAAGGTAAACATGTTTTAAAACAAGACATTCATTTCATTTTAATGACTAGATAAAAATCTTTCACACAGGCATGCACTCATTCTCCTTTTCCTGATGGCATTAGATACCAGCCTCTCCTTATTTTTGTCGACCCACCCCTGGGCACAGAGACACCCGGTGTTGGTTTAGTCCTGGTTCTCTTTTATTCTGAATGTTTTGTTGAAGAGTTACTCAGATTATTTAGTTTACTGTATTAAATAAAAAATCTAAAAGTATTTAGGATGAGAGTGGTCCACAGTACTTCTGATATGTCTTTAATTCAGGTATTAAACATGACAACCTTCTTTTTTTTTTCCATCGTTTTCTCCATGAGTTTTGATATTACGACAGAAAGAGAAACACATTTTGCTTCCACTTTCAGCCCTAAAGAGAATTTTTCTGTCAGTTTGAGTAGACTGGTGCTTTAAAATTGTTGTCTGTTGATGGTTGTAAAAGTTTCTGTCTGTTTAGCTCATCCTGGAAAAGCGGAGCGAAAGATGTGTGTTTTGTTTTTCCTTTCTTTATTTTCAACAGCCGGTTTATAGTCGGTGTTGTCTTAAGCCAGTAGGCCCTGACAACAGTTGACTTCATCACAAAGAATGTGGGTTTCTTCCCCCAAGAGGCAGCGTGTAGTTGTTTGTGAAGCTAAGTCACTTCATCTTTCTCTCTACAGGCTTTTGGTCAGCGCCTCCCAGGATGGCAAGCTCATTATTTGGGACAGCTACACCACAAACAAGGTAGATGAAATGCCCGATTCAATGACCTGAAACGATTCGAGTGGGCTCTAGCCACTGGTCCCCCTTTTTATTGTCAGAAGCTGAATAATTAGCCCGCCGTTTGATTGTGACGTGATGTCATTCGAAATGCTGGCGTCAGCTTGTAAATGTTCCAGCAACAAGAGTGGGAAACACGGGAGGCGAGGCGGCATTACTACTTTCATTCAGTTGGTTAGCTTAAGAGCAAAGAAAAAAAACTCTGCGCTATCACAAATCAGAGCTTCTGTTAGCTCAGAAACGCACAAGCAAATAGAAGTAGTTGGAGCAGCTTCATGCAGCAGCGGCTACATGAAGCAGTCCGAACGCGACACGAAGAGCAAACTGACTGAACAGACAGGGCGTGATGGCTCTGGTCTTTAACTGCGCGTAAAGGCAAATATTAGCAGTAGTCATTACTCCCAGATTTCCAGCTCTCTTTGTGTTTGTGGGGTCCAAGTAAAGGTTATTTTCAGTGGTTATTGTGCCCTTGAAAGGTTAAGTTAATATTGCAGACAGATTTAGTTGCTTTAACCTCCTCCTCTCTCTTCCATCTGTCTGGGCGTACTGTCTAATATTAAATCTTCCTCCTCTCTTCCAGGTCCATGCCATCCCGTTGCGCTCCTCCTGGGTGATGACGTGCGCCTACGCCCCCTCCGGGAACTACGTCGCCTGTGGTGGCCTGGACAACATCTGCTCCATCTACAACCTGAAGACCCGTGAAGGCAATGTGCGCGTCAGCCGCGAGTTGGCCGGACACACAGGTACCCCCAACCTCTTGTCAGCCCTATGCCCATCATCCAATTCCACCTCTTCTCCAGTGAGGTGACGGAAAAAGGGTGGCAGGAATGGTGCCTCTCCTTTCTGTGTATACGAATGAAGCTCCCTTCTTTCTTTTTATTTCTGATCAACAGTCGAAAGTTATTTTGTGGTCACCATACACATAATGCCAACGACTAAAGTTTTTTCCAAAAATGTCATTCATGAGACTCAAACGGCCAACCCCACCACATGGGAGTTGTAAAGAACCCTTTTTTTTACTTGAATTCAAATAAATTTGACTGTAAGTTACGTGTTGGAGCATGACCAAATGGCCATCGGAAATCTCGAGATGGCGGTTCTCATGGTCACGTCCCCCCGCTGCTGAGCTCGGCCTTACATCAAAGAAAAAAACTTTGCTGTGAAGTTAAATGTCACTTCATTATTTTTTCATGACATCTCCTCATTGACTGCGTTTTATATTTCCACCGATAAGAAACTCTTTACATGCATCACCAACTCTTTAGACAGTCGGCATCATTCGTCGCCTTCTGTTGTACCCCCTAACCCCCCCCCCCCAGTCAGGAGCCTGAGTACTTAAACATCCAAAAGGTGCATGTTTCTCCTCTGCAGTCAGAGGGTGCTAAAGCTTTGTACCATCACACACTAATGGAAGCGTCGGGCGCTTAGGCAAGATGCATTCATCTGATCAGTGTCACATGATGCAGGAAGTGTGTCAGCATTTTAGTTGCAGTTTCCTCACTATTGGGAGGGGTGTATACACTCTGCCAACTAGTAATGGATGAATTATGGAAGCAAGTCATGAACCAGGAGATGCCCTACAGCTTTTTTCTTTTCTGTTTCTGGTTGTGAATTAGTCAATTCATCTCCCCCACATCCAGCTCACACAGCACTCTCTGTGGGTGGAACGAGGCTCCTTCCTCTGTGCACAGAGTACGGATATGAAACTTTTACCTCTCGCTGCTGCATAAAAATAGAGACTCCATAGTAAAGGATCTAATCAGTGCCTTTCACTCCTTTTAGGTTACTTGTCCTGCTGTCGCTTCCTGGATGACAACCAGATTGTCACCAGCTCTGGAGACACATCCTGGTGAGTTGTGATATTGCACCCGATGAGATCCAGTGCTGCATCGTTATGAAAAGGAACCTCAAATGACTTCTGAGCATCGTTTCATGGATACTTCACACAACAGAATCAGAAATATGGCAATAGTTTTGTTTTTCATTACCAGGATTGTAGACCTGGATCACCACACCTCACATTCCCACTCAACACCCCACAAGAACCAATCAAATTTTGTGTAAAAAAATAATGGATCTGTTCGAATTAGATGGTTTGTTTCGAAATGTTTCATAGTGTGTGTCTCTGTTCTCTTTCAGTGCTCTGTGGGACATTGAGACCGGTCAGCAGACAACTACGTTTGCTGGTCACACCGGTGATGTGATGAGTCTCTCTCTGGCGCCCGACACCAGGCTGTTTGTGTCTGGAGCCTGTGATGCCTCAGCCAAGCTCTGGGACATCAGAGAAGGAATGTGCCGACAGACCTTCACTGGCCACGAGTCAGACATCAATGCCATTTGCGTACGGACTGACACACAAACACACACACACACTCAGACTTGTTATGCGTGAGTCAGAGCAGCGTTTCAACTCATTTAATACATCTGTAAGTCAAATCTGTCAGAGCAACTCTGCTCTTTGAGGCAATTCCAAGCAAACACAAAGTGGAGAACAGGTTGTTTGTGGAAATGCAAATTGAAGACGACCATTTTTAGTTTTTTTCCCTAACGGCTTCAAAGCTGTTTTGAGTTTACTGAGTCCCACTCATTTGTGTAGATTTGAATGGAACTGCTACACTAAATATGGACGCCAATAGAATAGCCTGGAAAAACTAAAGATTTGTCACGGCATACTCCAAAGTTTGCCGTAATATTTCACAGTAAAGACTGTGTGTTCTGGGGTTTGATGGAAGTTCTGCTCACCTGCTGTTGCAGTTCTTCCCTAATGGCAACGCCTTTGCCACGGGCTCCGACGATGCCACCTGCCGGCTCTTTGACCTGCGTGCTGACCAGGAGCTGATGGTTTACTCTCACGATAACATCATCTGCGGCATCACCTCTGTGGCATTCTCCAAGAGTGGCCGCCTTCTGCTGGCGGGCTACGATGACTTTAACTGCAACGTGTGGGACACTCTGAAGGCCGACCGCGCAGGTAAGTTACCCCATGGCGCAAAGGACCCACAGAATTTCACCTCCTAATTAAACCAGACATATTTAGGCGGCCCGAATTGAATGAGTATTTTCCCAGCTCACAGTTTTCTTCGTTTGGGCGCTCTTTCGTGTCGCTAACCAGATAAATACATCAGGGTTTAATATTCTGTACTTTAGGTCAGTGGCAGTGCCTAAAACTGCTTTATTAATACAAAGGCTACGTGAGCATTGTATGTCACAATTTGCAGAGAACAGGCAACATTAAGGCCAGTTTGTACTCAAAGCTAACACAACTACAGCCTCTGATCTCACCACACCATCAAATCTGACCAGACAGAAACGGCCCCGTCACATGGTCTGACCTGCAAACCTTACTGTGAGAACAAGTCAGCAAACATGTGACGGAAATGAAAGTGTAGTCAGTAAAACCCTCCCCTTTAAATCTTGTGATTAATGTGTGTAACTCACTGTACACACAGATATGTTTAGACTTCCACTAGATTTGGTCACAATGTCCCACTGATCAAAGTGTTATACGTGTGTGTGACTTTGATTCAACTACTTCCAAATAAAGCTGTGAAGTGTTTGATAGTCTGGGACAGGATGGATACGGTGAACATCCTGTGACACAACATGGCTGCTTCACGGCTGTGTTTTGCGTATGTCGTACGAAACGATTTGAAAACACCCATCAGGTTTTACTCTTAGCTCAAAGAGTGACTCCATTGAGGTGGGACCGGCTCCAGAGTGGGAAAGCAGTCATACACGGTGGCTCATGCCTGCCAGCTTTATGCATGTTGTGGGTGTAGTTTTAGCTTAGTTTGTTTGTCAGCCTAAATCTCAAATGAGTGCAAATAGAAGCACCATCAGGTAGCAGCAGCCCTGCTCTGTGTCCAGCTGTATTCTCCACCAAACCTACACCCCCACATGTGCAGGGTGCCGCTCATCGGGCTTGCCCCGGCGCGACCTGCTGAACTTTCACCTCCCTAAAGGCGTCGTTTAAAATCCATGTGAATGCCTTTCCGGTGACACCAGTGCCTAAACAAATCAATCTGCGCGCACCTTTTAAACAGCGTAAAACAGGCCTGTTTTCTGACTTGAAATACTAGGTTTATAATTTTCCATCGAGCTGAGATCTTCTGCGCCAGATAGGGTCGTGCACATTACCTGATGCAGGACCAGGTGAAGAAAATCAGCAGAAAACTGTTCAACTGCACCAGAGAGCAGCGGGCGTCACCTGCTCCAGCAGCAAAAAGCCCCTGTGGAGGCATTAATACTTCACAGGTATTGACAGCGTAGTAGGATACGGATCAGAGGAAACACACACCTGAGCTGGCCGTTTCAGAAGGCCACACACACACACATTTCATCCACAGGTGGGAATGATACTCTGCAGTGTATGAGGACTTTGATGAATAGTTAAGTGGTCCGCGGGACTCTGTGCTGCTCGTTGTGGATTGGAACCTGTTCTCACTCTGACATGAAATGTTTTCCAGACACGTTGAAACGTGCATCCATCACTGACGTGGTTTGCTCTTCTGTGTCTTTAGGGGTCCTGGCTGGTCATGATAACCGAGTGAGCTGCTTGGGCGTCACCGATGACGGCATGGCAGTGGCAACAGGGTCCTGGGACAGCTTCCTTAAGATCTGGAACTAGAGTCTGAAGGTAAATGGCAGGAGAGGAGCCCTGTAAGGCTGCAGCTGCTCAGTGTGCCGTGAGGCCCTGCTGCCATCTGGGGGTGGGGAACAGAAGCGCATCATTGTAGAGAGCCCATCCTCAAATCCCATGCAGGGTGAAATGTTATCTTACCTCAGATGATTCAGTGAATTTAAATGAAACGCTCGTCTGTCACTTTATGTGGGTGTTAGTGATGATGGTGGCACAGTCCTCTGCTCAGTGGGGGACGCTGCTAAGTAATGGAATTGTTTGTTTCTTTCAGATGGCATCCGGACTCCAAAGTTGAGTGCAAGACCATTCCAACATCGCAATGTTCAATTTTATTGCATATCCAATCTTTTAAAAGAAAAAAACACACACACAAACACACACACCATGATACTGACTCCAAACACCCCAAAATCCTATCAAGGGCAAAAAGTTTCACCCTCTTGTTCCTTCTCATTTAAAAGAGCACAATTGTCTGTCACTCGTTAAGCTACACACAAAACAAAGACAAAAAAAGCTCGAGTTAGTGGTTTAAAAGTGGGCCGGAGGGGGGGAAAAAGTCCTGCATTCCTCCAACCACCTGGTCTGTTGTTGTAATATTGGAAAATACGAAAATCCCACCACCACAAAGCAAATGTGTCCTGCATCCTCATTATGCACAGGTCTGAGTGAAGGTTATTACACGACAGTGATCGAACTCTTAATAGCTTTTTGGCCATGTTTATTTTTGTTTCTCTGTTTTCATTATTCTATTTTGTTGAAGAGAGGTAGATCAGTGAACTGTCAGATAATGTTTAAGATGAGGATCAAAGCTTTGGTTTATTTTCTAGTCTTTACACATTTTAAAGGAATGTTTTTAGGTTGAGAAGTTCAACAGCCTCCAAATCATGTAATTTTAAGTCCAGCTTTATCTCACTGGAGAACAGAGTGAGAATTCAGCGTCAACAGGGAGTCCTCAAGCCACTTCTGGCCCTTCTGTATATTTAGCCCCATGATACTTTTACTATTTCTTTTTTCCAGCGTAGTCCACGAATCTTTGTTTGCACAAAAATTAAACTTTGCATATATAGAATAATGTCTAAAGAAAAACGTTAACTAACCAAGCACATGCTGTTTATGATAATGAATGCTCGTTTTTAAAACGGAAAACAATGAAAAAAACAACAAAAAAAACAACAAACCATTTTAACCATTCTTACACCTTTTTGTCTGGCAACAGTGTAGAATAATTAAATGAAGATTAACCCATCGGATCATAATGCACCCCGCCCCTTTTTTAGTCTTTTTCTTTCTTTTTGCTCCCTCCTCCCCATGAACTTGACTTTTCTTTCCCCTGGTTTCGGTTGCCCGTGGTTGGGACCAGTGATGTGATTTGGTTGGGTAGGGACTACCTCCACTTTCGCCTGGTTGCAATGCGGACGTTTCTCTTTTAACAGAGGTGCCCATTCCGTGCTTGGAAATGCAGTTACTACTCTGTGAATGACATGTTGTATAAATCAATGTTTGAAAATAATGATATTGAAACTTTTTAAGTTAAAAACGAAAAAAAAAAGATTTTGGTTGTCTGCCATGGGTGGGTTATCTCTTAGAATCGCATGCTGTAGAATTGCTTAAAAGGTGCATATGGAATTAAGTCCTTTTGATGTTTTTCTTTTAAGAAAATAACCTGTTGAATATATCAATACAATGGTATTTATATTTTTCTTTCTATTTTTCCTTTTTTTTTTTGGCTACTCTGTGCATACATGATTCAACTAAAATGTCAAAGCTATGCACTTGAGAAGCAAACCCTGCAACATAAACGGTTACTCGGTCCATACTCGGGAGGGATTCCACAAATTAAAAACGAAAATGCTTAAATTGTACACACATACATACGTACATTCATTCACCTAAACGTACACAATCCAAATGGAACAAATAAATTTTCATTCCTTCTGTAGCAAGCAAATTCCATTTACAAAGAAACATTTTATAACAGGTTTTTTTTCTGTCCTTTATTAGAAAATGGAAAAAAAAATCTTGCAGCATCTGAATGGCAGAATTTTCTGTTGTTCCCTTCTCCTTGTAAACAAATACGCTCTTTCTTTAGCAGTAGTGACATTTTTTTTTCCATTCTGTTTTTTCTCTGCGACATTCTGTACAAAAAATGTGCTGTAATTGTGCGTTAGGCCTGGAGTTGGCAAAAAAAATAAAACAAAATAAAAAAATTAATTAAATTCCCTTTCCTTTTCTCTCTTTCTCCATCAAATAACTGTAGAGCTCGCACCCCCACTCTTCCCTTTTCACCTTTTGTATTTAATTTTAAGTCAGTCAGTGTACAACCGAAAGCTGGATGCAAGATAGAAACTATATTAAAATGTACTGTTATTTAAGATGTAATAAAAAGCAGTTTGAGATGACCTACTGTGTTGAGTGTGATTCACTTAGAACGATTCCCACTGAAGCTAGAATGTTGCAGACTGTTTGGTTTCCTTGTAATTATGTTCAAGTCAAATAAACAATTTCTTATCCACTGTTGAATCAGCCTGGCTCCTCTGTACGGGTTAGCAGTTTGTTACTTTCCTTTGTTTTTCAGTGGACAAGGGTATGAAATCAACTTTTTATGGTATTAAAAGAAATAAACAAATTATAAAATCCATACCATCAAGTTCATCAGACATGAGATGTCCCTACAGACTTGATCCACCAGTCCTGGAAGTATTTTTGCTTTTACTGCTTGTGGGAAACATTCACTGGCCTTTACCCCCCTCTGGTGGTAAGAAGAATCACCAAGCAGCTCCCTCCAGATTTTTCTGGATTTTAACAACCTCTTAAACTGGTGTTATTTGCATATATGTATTTCTTCCGGGGCTGTTTTTTTTTTTTCTGGAAGAAACAGAATAGTCTGATTAGTTCAGAGGGCAAATTTATGCCAACCAGCTGTTGTGGCTCACAGGTTGAGAAGTTTCTCTGCACTGATAACATTCAAACTTTACAGTGCAAAACTCCTCAAAATGCTTTTTTGACTTGTTGAATTTCTTGAAATGGACTAAATTCACATATGTAGCAATTGTTTTATAAGTTATTGTAAAAAAAAAAAAATGCAGGTGCACAATAACTTATCAGAATATGTCCTAAAAATAATTGTATCCTGAATGAGACTGTTCTTTATTTCTAAAAAAAACCACATTCAGATTAACCTTGACATACAACGGCTCTTTGTAGGACTGAGCTGAAAAGATGTGTGTGTGTATATATATATATATATATATATATATATATATATATATATATATATATATATATATATATAAAATAAAGACTTAAACATATCTGTACCCTTTATATTTTTGAAGACATTTTAAAAGAAAAATAAAGCTAATGTGACAGTTGGGCAGTTTTGTCTGAAAGATCAGCTCCCCAATTTGCTGGTGTATAGACCTGCCAGTAAGCTACAGGAAAAAGTCTACTGAAGTCGGCGTAAAGAAAGATTGAACTTATTCAGTAAAAAAAAAGAAAAGTATTACTTTGGATATTTCATTGGTTTTCTTTCCAGCTTGGTGCTTAATTATTTTTCATTTCCAGGCAAAGATTACAGATTGCACAAATATGTGAAGGGTTTTTAAAATGCATGTACTATATTGTTTATGATTTCCAATAAAATTTATTCCACACAAAACATTTGAATGTGTTTTTCCACATGTAAAGTTTAGTAGTTTTTTTTTTTTTACTCTTACCGGTACACTCCTCGTTTTAAAGCGAGGCCTTCCAATATGACGTCACGCAAGATGCGACACCCTGATTGGCCACGGAGGATCGGGAAGTCATGAGCTGACCGTTGACAGCTCTCCGGTAAGATAAGATGGTGTAACGTCGTTGCTTAACGGCTCAGGCCAGCGGCTGTTTATTGCGCTCCAGTCCTGAGTGGTCCTCCGAGACGTCGTGGATAAAAGGTAAGAGTTGGTTGACTGAACCTAAAACTGTTAAACCTGTTGCCCAGTAGCTTAGCTTGCTAACTATGTGAATATTAGCTTAGCTGGCTCGCCCCACCATCTGGACCACCCCCCCCCCTCCACCCCTCCCTCCAGGGTTCATCCGATTAAGTTGGTGGGGGTCTCGTTGTTTAAACTGTTGAATGTTAACGCTGTTTTCAGTTTTGTAATATTTAACCCATTAGCTTGACGGAGAAAATTCTTGAAATGAGGTCCCCGGCGGTTCGAAAAAGTTTGACACGTTTAAAAGAGTCTCTTATTCGTTACCTGAAGCTTTTTCAAAAGTATTTAATTACATGTTGGCTCATAAGTCGTATAAACGGCTCAGACAGACTTTGTGTCTGAAGGGACGTCTTTAAAACAAACCGTAAGAAGCCATTCGGGCTGAATCATGTGTGGCATTTGGACTCTTACTTAACTCACGGCGTTCGGAGCGGCTTAGTTTCGGACTCACATTAGTCCTTTGTTTCTTTGGCCTGCTCGTGTTTACCTCCGGCCTCATGAATGAATGATTGATACTCCCCGTCAGGTCACGTGCAGCCCGGCGGTCAGAGATGGACGGCGTACCGGAGGCGCGAATGGAGACTGCTCCTTTCTGCTGCCCCACCTGTGACGGAGGAGAGGCCCCGGGCCGCGGCCTGGTCCGGCGCAACAAGAAGACCCGCAGCCTGAGCACCTCCTCCGCCAGCTGCTACTCCGATTTCAGGTGAGGATGGGAGCAATTTTTTCATCGGAAACGTGTGTTTGTCCAATGCTCTTGTGACACGCAGTGCATGTTGCACCACCTCTGACAATTTGAGAAAGGTGTTGCATTGGTACGGTTCCTTAAATTTGAGGATTGATGTCCGTAGTGATTTTGTAAGAGTTTTGTTTATGTTGGTTTCTTAGAAAGGGGAAGTGTTTGAGAAAGCCTCACTTTTCTGGCATGTTGAAATAAACTCCCACATAGGCATCATGAGTTTGTTCTCATTTGGGAAAGTGGGATTCCCATTCCCCGATTTTAAAAAAACAAACACAGAGGATTTTGTTTATTTTGGCTTTCTGAGAGGTTAGAAATTTTGGTTAAAAGATGAATTTATCACAGCTTCATCTGCTTTTCCCCCCCCGTAAATTAGTTTTATATTGTCATGAAGGAAGAAAGTACAATTAAAACCCAATATATTAGTTTTTTGAAGAAGAGATGAAAATATGAATTTATAAATATCCAGAATTGGATTGAAATATTTTTGGGGGTAAATTACGGATGTGCAGGCCTTCCCACGTCCCTGAGTAATCTCTTACACTTCTCTCATATGTCACAACCTTACCACTTCTGTTTCTCAGTGTTTGTATTTGTCTTGGTAAAATATTTCTGTCTTCAATCAGTTTTTTTTTTAGTTCTTTTTTTTCAGTGGTGTCAGAGAATGCACATTGTACAGAGGTGTCTTGTGTTATAAAACTCTTATAATCGGAGTCAGTAAAAATAGTTCAGCCGCAGTCATCGTTATCCAGATGGATCCTTGTTTTTGGCTCCAGTACAAATCCTGAGAAAGATGATTTAGGAAGCTGTACAGCCAGTGGGTTTAAAAGCACAAATTTGTGGTCGCTATGAGAAAGATATCCTGCCTTACATTTGTTATTTTTTATACTTAGATACTAATATTGCAGCATGAAGACATGGTAAAGATCAGGTGGTGATTTTACAGAATCAGACTTAGTGGATTTGGTGGCACAGGGATGCAGCCTCTCAAATTTCCCCTCTCAGGGACAAATGAAGGAATATCTTATCCAATGAAGGCATCATTTGTTCCATCTAAGCTTAGTATCTCTGACCTTTCACCCTTAAAACACTTGGCTTATTTCCACAAAGCAGAATATGAACAGTGTTGCAGGTTTTTCCACACTTAGCAGCAGCTTCGTATTTTATTGTGGGTGGCTGAGAAGATAAAAAAATACTATTGGGCTTATTCATGAGTAGCTAATGAAATTTGCAAGAGATAAGTGTCAAATATTTCATGAGTACTCACTCCTATTTAAGATTTTTCGGAGTCTCATTGTAGCAGACTGATCGTTCAGAGGCTAGAGGTTAATCAAGATTCCAGTAATCAGCAGGTAATCCCTTTAAAAAAAAAAAGTGCTTATCCTTCAACTGAGGCTGTGCTTTAGACATGCTTTAAACACAACCCATTTTCACTCTTTAATCTGAAAATCAAGAATAACTTCAGATTGTTTTGGTAATTTTACATTATGCTCAGCATCTGTAGGCTCTATATTACAGCCTGAATAAGAAAAGTGTTACATATCACATCAATGTTTCCATTGATTTGAGAGTCTATTTGGTGTTACAAAACAGAAATACAAGTTGTGTTTTTTTTAATCTGGCAGCTTCCGTTTCAAACCCGAGCTTTTCTCGTCCTCTCTTTCAGGAGGACTCAGTCTCTACATGGACCAAGCCCCGTTACCACCTTTGGCCCAAAGGCCTGCATGCTCCAGAACCCACATGCAGTCATGTAAGTCAGACAATCAAATGTGTCCTTTTCTTCTGTTTTCCTTTTTACCTGGTGCGTTTCTATCCTGATGCGACAAAACATAACTATCAAATAAGACCGTGTCTTCGCAGAAATGAAAAAGATTTCAACAAGACTTTTTTTTTTTTTTTTTTGGAGGGGGGGACTATTTAACTCCTTTGAGTTAATTATCACAGGGTGCTTAAAAATAAAATGCAGTGAAACATATGCATTGTGAAAAGTTTTATCCTTTTAAGGGCCAATCCCAGCCATCATGGAGCCAGAGGCAGTGACTAAACACATTTACATAACACCAAAACAAATGACAAATGTTAGTCCAGGTAGGACTTGGCTTTTCTAATACCTTTAGACCTATTTGTCTGACTGAATACAAGCCTCAAATCACTGCACACTCTTTGTTCATCCAAACTGGTGGTTGAAACACCCTAAAACCAATTAGTAAAAAAAAAATTAAAAAATGAATACTTAGAAAGTCTTCCAGTTTTATCTAGAAGTTATCTCCCACTGGTGAGTAAAAGGCAAAGGTTTCTAAGCACACATTACACACAAAAAAGACCCAAACTGTACTTTTATAATATATGTAGGTATGTTGGTCCAGTCAATCTTGTCTTTTTTTTTTTTTTTTAAAGAATATACGTTTCTGCTATTATAAATACATTCCCCATAAAGAATCAGTCATTCACGTGTTGTTCAGAAGGGCAGTGATTCATTTATCAGGTAAGTCTGAACTCGCCTTTAAACTCATTTTGATTATTCGGAAGCATGAACAGCACAATAACTGATGTTTGACATGCGTAAAGCCAAAGAGAGCAACAGCGCAATTCTATTTCTTTCTGCAAGGACATATTTGGGTGAAATCCGTTCTGCTTTGTCCTGCCTTCCAAACCATTATTCTGTACTTCCGCTAAACTACCTTTTTCTGAGAACCCGTTTCGGGTGAATGTCCCAACATCCTCTTTTGTCATTTTTGAACTCAGGTCCAAGTGCAGAGCCCTCATACGTGTTTTCAGACAGGTCACACATCACACCCGCTGACTCTGCTGTGGTGCTTTGCACCTGTCCAACACACCTGTCCCACTCCAGACTTACAGCACAGGGACATGCGTTTTGTATGAGGATGTCTGGTTTAAAAATGAAGGTTAACAAGGAGGTGAAATAGAGAAAATCCAATAAAAAGGCAATTAAGCCTGCTTAACTGCAAAAGATGTGGGGAGTTTTTCTGACTTTAAACCTAATTTCCTCTTTTTTTTTTTTTCTGCCTGTGACAAAAAAAAGGGACTCTGTTCACTGGCTGAGCTGCCAGACTGCTCTGTATCATTGAAGCTATGTGAATCGCTAACAGCTCAGAGTGGCCCGTCTGATGTATTTTATTTATTAGTATACGATAAATGAATACAAATATAAATAAATATATGACAAATATAAATACTTTATTATTTACTTGTTTTGGCAGCAACTCTGAACAGATCCTAAATGAATCCACTTTTTAGCAGCTATAAATGTTCTATAGAAGACCTAATGTCTAAAAATGAAAAGGCATGAGTTCGGCTGCTTGACTTAAACATCTTCTCCTGATGGGAATTCATAAATATTAAACATTTGTTAGTTGCAGATAATGTGAACAGTCATTTAAACGCAGTGCCTTTTTCACTGATTTCCATCCATTACATACTTTAAAAGCTCAGCCAAAACAAGGGCTCGGACTACATGAAATGTATTTTTAGTAAACCGATACAGTGCCAAACTGACAGAAACACTGAATAGCTTTATTATATTATCAAACTTGTTCCACTACTTAGAACAATTGTTTTTGTAGCTCTCTGACGCATCCAAAGTTGAGTTGGGTGTTTTTTTTATTTGTTGTACATTGTTTAAGGTATCCTAGATTATGTCTTGGTTGTGAAACGCTCTTTATGTTTCTCCTTTGGGTCGCAGCCTGACTGTTGGCCTAGTGACACCCTAAGTCACGTAAGTGACTCGCTCTGAGGCCGAAATGTTTCAAGGATTAGCCTCTCAAAGCTGCTCGACAGGTTCAAAGCGGGATAACCGGGCTGCCTTTGTTCCAGACCAGTTTGAAAAATATTAATATTAGTGTGTGTGTTCGTACGCAGTTATTATTTGGGGCTGTGTTGTGATGCGAGTCGCAGGGTGTGAGCACAGCTTTGTTTTTGTGGTTTAGTTTCAGGTGAAAAAATGGTGGCGTATCAGAATGTCCACCCGTCAAGTTTCCAGCATTAGTCACATGTTCAGATGGGACATAACCCTCCCTCACTCTGTACACTGTTTCATTTTTTAGAGGAAAATGTTCTGTTTCACCAAGGACGGCTGAATAGTTCAAGCTCTTTATAGTCTGTAAGTTATTTTGATGGCATCTATGATGGCAGTTTCTTTAATCCTTCAGGTGAAGCCACCTTCACTGCCTTCATTTCCTGTAATCAGGAAGTCCATTCTGTAATTTTCCCATAAAACCAAATTGCGTAATCAGCAAACACAAATTAGGTCATTTCCTGCTCTCTTGGGGAAAAAAAACATTGTTTCGGTCATTCAGGTAGGATTCCTTTGCCTTGTTAAAAAAAAGAAAGAAAAAAAAGAGATAAAAAAAGCAGCTGCGTTCCTAATGGAGGGCGGTCCCTCAAATGGGCGGGTGCAGCACAGCACAGAGGGCAGGGCCAGAGATTCTGTCAACCTTTAAGATGGGAGCAGCTTTAACTCAGTTGCAGAAAGCACCTGGAGGGTTTAGTGTTAAGTCCTCCCCAGGACCAAAATAGCCCCTGAGAGTCCAGCTCGTTGGGCTGTCAGCTGATCCCGGGTCCTGAGCGCAGCGGATGGAGAGCCCTCTGAGCCTCGCTCTGCCTCTCAGACAGCCGCCGGCCCAACCGTCAGCCTGATGTAACGGAGCTCCTCACCGTCTCTGAGACGCGGCGCCTTGGAGGAAGTTCTTCACAGCACAAGCGGTTTCTGTTATCAGGGCAGAGAACCCGTCCCCAGCTGAGCCAGACCACAGCACCTCTGTCAGACAGCCATGAAGTTCAACCAGTGTGTGCTGGAGGACGCTCCAGGCAGCGAGAACAAAGTCTGGAAATGGTGAGGGGACACGTTTCAGGGATGATAAGTTAACAGGCTGCCAGATGTTCAGACAGCTGATAGCGCACGCGTTTAGCCTTCAGAGAGGAGAGATTGTTTGTCTTTGTTCAAAGTTTTAAGCTTGAAGTTGGTGCCGAGTGTCTGCGGCTGAGGGGATGCAGCTGTGATATCAGGGCTTTGTACAGCTGTGTGTGGACAGAGTGGCCGGACTGTGGGGGTGTGGGTGCTTTGAGGTGGTCAGAGGAGTCTATGAATGGATGACGGTCTGTTGAAATGCTAACGAAGGTTTGCTTTTGTTTACTGTGAATCATACGGAGCAGGTTGGCCTAGTTTCAGCCCTACATGTTTGTTCGACATTGTCTCCTCCCGGCTGCAGCCCGGGCGCTCCGTGTGATTGCATGGTGCTGCAAAGCAGAAATCAGGAACTGGAGATGTCAAAATGATTCTCTCCTTTTCAGATTTTGTTGCGGGTTCCCCAAACAGGTTTGATCATTTCCCCGAAGCGGACAGTTGCTGATGGAGGGCTGCAGCTCATAATGATATGAAAATGATGTTCAATCTGAGCTCTGAAGTGAAAGTCACATTAAATTTTTTATTAATCTGAAATGGAAAAGTTGCCACGAGTCATTTCCCCAAATCTCCTCTTCACTTGTAGCACAGGCTGAGTGGAGGCTGAAAGTCTCATTAAAGCTCCGTCTCCACAGCTAATTGCATAAAAGAATAGTTTGTCTTCTGTCCCTCTTTCTAAAAACTTTAAAAAAGAGCAAATAGGGGCTGTGACTTGCCCTTTCATGGTGCTCCGTTTTATAAATCTGGTGTAAATATCCTCAGTGCAGCATCAAAGTTTTTCTCAAGTGAATGAGTAAAAATGAATTAAACGTCTTCTAATATTTTGATCACAGCTGACACACATGCTGTCATTCTCAACACAATAATCCATGAAGCCCAACTTCTGTGAGGCTAATTATACACTAAGAACATGGATGATTCAAAGCCGTAATCCTGAACTCTTGCATAAGGGCTACAAAAATAAATGATTGTGTTGGAAAGAGAGCCGGTGGTGACTTCATAACGTGGATGACAGTGCAGTAACCCGGGAGAGTCACATCTAACCATCGTAAACAGACCCGGGGATTGTTGATCAGACTCAGACCCCGTGGCAGGTTTCCACTTTTCACTCACAAGCTTCTTTTTTTCCCTGCTTCTCTGATTTCAGATTAGTTTCAGTTTGCAGAAAAAGAGTTTAGTCACTTTTATGTAAAGGTTTTAATAAGAAACCATTTTAACTTTTGTCTCAGAACGAAATGTTGAAAGAGGAGCAGCTTAATGAAAGCTGACTTTTAGCCTCTGAAATGTTTTTTGGTTTTGCCTCTGTCTTTTGAGGAATTTTCTATGCCGCCGTTGCCAAACCAGTGGTTGAGTTTAGGTAAAGAACCAGCAAGACGGCATGTGGGGACAACACAACCAGACTTTAAGGTGATGCCTGTAATTGGCTCAGGACTAAGCCGTCGTGTTGATGATAAACAGGGCGAATCCTCAGCTAGTTAACGGCTCTTACATGAGCCCGAACCCCAGAGCAGAACCGGCTGACGTAAGACGCGACTGTATGGGACGTGAAATGCATGAATTTTTCCTTGTGTGTGCTTTCAGGCACATTCAAGACCCCGCCAGCCAGAGACTGACGTGGAACAAGCCACCAAAAAGTGTCCTTGTCATAAAGAAAATCCGAGATGCCTCTCTGCTCCAGCCCTTCAAGGAGCTCTGCGTTTTCCTCACAGAGGTGCGTCACACGGCCGGGCTCAGCGGTAGGCTTGTTGTTCCCTCTCTGAGCTCTAACTTTTCTCCTTTTTTGGTGGCACTGCAGGTGAAAAACATGGTGGTTTATGTGGAGAAGAAGGTCCTGGACGACCCGGCTATTTCGGACGACGAAAACTTTGGGCCCATCACAAAGAAATTCTGCACTTTCAGAGAAGGTATGAACGGCCGTCGGGCTCATCAGTTCCTCAAACATTAAAAGCAAAACGCACCTAAATGTTTTCGTGGTCGTGGCGTTTCTCAGACCTGGACGACCTGTCCAATCGGGTGGACTTCATCATCTGTCTGGGCGGAGACGGGACGCTGCTGTACGCCTCCTCCCTGTTCCAGGTATTCTGTCACGCGTCTGTCGGTGGAACTTTAAAAAGCCCCCCGCCGGTCTCCGCTGCCTAACAGCCCCCTCCCTTTGTGGCTCTGCTTCCAGGAGAGCGTTCCACCAGTTATGGCCTTCCACCTGGGCTCCCTGGGCTTCCTGACACCCTTCAAATTCGACTCCTACCAGTCTCAGCTCACCCAAATCATCGAAGGTAAGCGGCGTCCTGCCCCTCCGCTGTGGGGAAATGTGGGAATGGAAGGATGTAAACACTTTCTGCTCCGCAGGTAATGCCGCCATCATCCTCAGGAGTCGCTTGAAAGTGCAGGTGTTCAAAGAGAACTGGGAGAAGAAGGACGGCTTGGATGAAATGGGCATCATCCAGACCACCGAAAGCGCCCGCAAAGCCATGCAGTTCCAGGTAATAGCCACCGCCGGCTGAAAAATGGGCTGCAGCTGCACAGGTTTGCTGCGTTGGGCCTGCAGCTCGTGCAGAAAAATAGGTCAAAGCTGCCTGAGGGCGGTCGCCATGACTCACAGCATTGGGCTTTGCTTGTTGTTGAGGAGCAGGATGAACAAACGGTGACATCAGTGAAAGGTTTCCACGTGCTGACCACACCGGCATTCAGCAGCAGGAATGTGGGGACCGGTGGGCGATGTGGTCTGACCGCTTTGCTCCTCCTCTGTGTGCCCCAGGTGCTGAACGAGGTGGTGGTGGACAGAGGATCCTCCCCCTACCTTTCCAACGTGGACCTGTACCTGGACGGGCACCTCATCACCACAGTGCAGGGGGACGGTGAGTGGACGGCCGGGGCCTCCACCAGGCCTTCCCCCAGTCCAGCTATTCCCAATTCTTCCCCCCTTTAGCGTGTGTGTAACGCCGCCTGTGGCCCCTCAGGTTTGATAGTGTCCACCCCAACGGGCAGCACGGCCTACGCAGTGGCAGCCGGAGCCTCCATGATCCATCCCAACGTGCCGGCCATCATGATCACGCCCATCTGCCCACACTCCCTGTCCTTCAGACCCATCGTGGTGCCTGCCGGGGTGGAGCTGAAGGTAGGCCCGCCGTCTCCTGTGTGTGTGTCAAACCAGCTGCCCGTGTCTCTGTCCATCTGCCTCCTGGAATATTCTAACTTATGCTAACCCGTTCCTCCCCTCTGAGCGTCGACTCAAACTGTAATTATTTGTAATTCCCCGTGTTCTCAGGAACTAACAAACACTGCTATGTCAGAGGGAGTCACTGAACTCGTTTGGCTTTTTAATTTAACTTCGACAGAAGTAAAGCAATCACCTCATGTGTGGGGTGACCACATGCCTCAGATATGAAAAATAAAAATAAAAAAACCTTCCCTGTAAATCTACAGGAGGACTAAACTTTTCCTCAGGACAGACATAACAAGTCCACGCGGCGGCCTTCCAACACACAGACCTCAGTCAGACTGCAAAACTCTGTTTAACTAAGAAACAAAAGACCTGACACAGAGCGTCTGCTGCTGTGGAAGAACAGCACAGCCTATGATTAGATCGTAGATAATAGTGATATGAGTAATTCTGATAATTATTGACTGTTCTCCTCATAATCTGATGGAAAACTCTTCCTCCATCCTTTGTGTTTGTGGAACGAGTCGAGCTAACAAGAATTTAACCCCGACACCCGAAGCCGGCCTGTTTTTGACGCTGCGTTTCCTGGTCTTTCTCAGATAATGCTGTCCCGTGATGCCAGAAACATGGCCTGGGTGTCATTCGATGGAAGAAAGCGACAAGAGATCTGCCACGGAGACAGGTTAGTCCAGATGGGCGTGAGCGTTCACTGACGGAAGAGTGGACTCCTGTCCCATGTTTCCTTACGTAACTTTATTGTCCCGCTTTACTGGCTGTAGGCCAACACTTCCCCCTCCGTCAGGTCCAACGCCCTCCTTTATCTAACTCACCCAGGTCTAATTCTCTTCCCGCTCGGTGTGGAGAACTGCCAGTATTCATCAACAAAAAAAAATCCCCAGTGTTGCCTCAGAGGGAAGTGTTCCCCCAGCAGCTGCTCCTGTTGCACACGCCTGGACTTTCCTCATTCTTCTTTCACTCTTTGATCCTTTTATGTCTTCTCCCTCCTCCTTCCAGTATCACCATCACCACTTCCTGCTTCCCCGTTCCATCCATCTGCTTCCGCGACCCGGTCAACGACTGGTTCGAGAGCCTGGCCCAGTGTTTACATTGGAACGTGCGGAAGAGGCAGAACCACTTCGGCTCGGAAGACGAGGAGTTCTGAAGCTCAGGGTTTCCCTAAAGAATCCCAGTTTGCACCCGGCCGTCCCGTCTCCGTCTGTTTGACCTCTCACAGCCAGGTTTTTACCAAACTCCAGTCGAAGCTGTCTGCCCACGCTGCCTTTCACATCCAGTGAAGCGATTGTATTTCTCTTCCATGTTGTAGTGGAATGTTAACGGGGAAGAAGAGGCCCCTCTGACCCCAGAATAGCCGATAGAAGTTATTTAAAAAGATGGTAATTAAAATGTAAAGAAAATTTGTATCAACATTTAAAAAAATTCTCTCCATTTTATAAGAGAACAAAGCGTTCATGAGGAACCTGAAAGATATCAGATAGTGGATTTGGATGGCGTTGGGCCTCTGGTTTCAGAAAACTGCCCCCCCCCCCCGTCTGAGTGATCTCCAGCTGAAAGGCTCAGAGCTGCAGAGCTGGGTGTGTCCCAGCGATACCAAAACCAGCCTCCAGTTTTCCGCCAGGGGCCCACACGTCCAGCCCGTGCCTTAGAAACACTTTTATCCAGAGCTGCCCTTTGGGAGCTTCTGTCCCTCCAGGCCCTCCTGTGCACAGATCTGGGTCTGCGTCTCCTCTCCGCTGAGCTCTGATCGAGAAACATCGCATATGTGTGTTCCCCAGCGGAGAGGAAGTTTCTCATTCCACACACAGAGACACCTCGTCCTCAGAAAACGTTTAAGGTCCGCTTTTAAAGACGTCCTTTAAGCCATAGCCAAACTTTTTAAAAGGTATTTTATAGACCAACGTCTGTGGGCCGCCGGCCACGTCACGGCCTGTGTGTGAATGTTGAGGCGTGGTCACACACTTTCCCCATTTCCTGCTCCGCTGTGCGGCCTGGAGGCTTAAAGGTCACCCCCCTCACAGCTGGACCCAGGTTCCAGATGTTACCGTGTGTGAACGTCTCGGGTAGAAGCAGGACCAGCGGCGTCCCCGCCGGAGCCCCGAAAAGCAATCATTCCTCTGCGCTGTGTAAATGTTGTGAGCTGTATTTTGAAAAGTGCACATGTTTATTAACTGATTTTACTGCATTATTAATGGAAATAAATCTATTTGGTATTTTTTATAAATGGATACGTTCGTCAGTTGTTTAGTCCTAGTTTTTACAGCCTAATATTGGATTTTGGAGGCTCGTTGAAAGCGAGCTAAAGCCCAGAAGAAATGCATTCCAAGACAAAACCATGAAGTCTTTTGTTTCAAGGAAACTTCCTGGTACGTTACCATAACATATTGTAAACTAACGACAGTAAAAACTCTGACTTCTGCTGAATGAAGCTTAACTGCTCTCTCAAAGTGCTTTTCACCTTAATCCTGAAAGCCTGTTACTCTTTTGTATGAGTTTATCAACGTGTCTAACTGGCTGTTACTGGAATAAAGTGAAGGTTGAAGCAGGACGTGTCTCCCTGTGGGGTCCCTGTGAGTCTGCACCACACGCTCATGACACCTCAACAACAGGCTGCCGGCTCTCGTTCAGGCCAGAAGACTGATTATAAGAAATCATTCAAATGGACAATTTTAATATTAAGAATATTTCATTAGAAAAACCACTTGGGTGCATTAAAGTGCAGCAGAAAGTTCAGTAGAAGACACAAGCGGATGTGAATCACTAGGCGGGCTCCCAGAAAACACTGGAGGATGTAGGTCACTTTAAAAAAAACATTATCAAACAACATTAGATTTACATTTAGAGCCAGAGTACAAATAATGGTCCCTTGCGAAAGACGAACAACGCCGGCGTTTCTTCCACTTTTCCAACCAGACAAACTCTGATTCAATCTCAGAAATTATGGACACATTGGGGTAAATGAATGTGGAAATAATGCTGGGTTAGTTTAAAAAAAACAACTCCAGGTGTTTAGAGCGCCGTCCTCGGCCCACGGACAGCTGTGGGCGCGTCAGCAGCTGGAGGCAAACACTGCAACACAACAGAGCAGCACAAAGGTCGGCACGTGCTTCCCAAGAAATGTTAAAAATAACAGAGAGAGTGGGAAGAGAGGCGACTCACTTCTCTCTCTCAGGCCCTGTCCGAAGTTGCGCACCAGCCTGTAGAGCCCCCCCCACAGCGCGGCTTTGATGAGCAGGGAGATGGAGGCTCCGGTGACGGCGGCGGCCTCCAGCGTGTACGTGCTGTCATGGAACCATTTCTCCACCACCTGAACACAGAGAGATGCTGAGTTCCTGCTTTCACAGCCAAAGAGGTGTGCAGAGAACAGGCTCTCATCCAGTTCCCACTCCAAAAACCGACATTTAAATCATCCGAGCTCGTGCTCCGTTTAAAGAGCAGATTTCTAAGTTCTGACTCTGTTTTTAGCCGGCTGTGCGTCTCCATCTCGGCGGGCACTGTGCCTGAAACTTTGGCCGCAGGGCGTTTAAGGCTTGGAGGCATTCTGAAAATATTTCACATCAAAGCCAGGTTTTGCTTCAGCCTGAGGAGTGTTTGCTAAAATCAGCTCCGCTGTCACGTCTGGCAGTCACCGGGTTTCTCTTCTTAGAGAGTCGTGGAGGTGCGACCTGTTTGAGGCGTCCCTGCTTTGAGGAATGTTTTTGTTTTTTTAAAAGGGCCTCGATGGAGACGTACAGTGTGCTTTCATGTCATAAAGTCCGGCTGGGCTCAGAGAACAGTTTGCGACGGCTTACCGTGTACATTAGGTAAACAAAGTAGGCCACTTGGGGAAGATTCATGACCATGAAGACCCAAACCAGGAGCTTGACTTCCTTTAAAACCTGGAGAAAAAAAAAGCAGACAGTGTTGGACTTTGCTGTGATCGGCCCCCACGTGCCTCACACCTGCTGGCCTTAAAACCCCGACCCCCTGAGGTACGCTTTCCCACCTCTGGGATCTCCTAGCTTTCCCTGTCGGCGGGTTTCACTCACCGCCACGGCGCCCACGGCGGCGGTCAGGACGGCCCAGGCCACGCCCACGCCCAGGATGAGCGAGTTGGCGGCGGACATGGAGGAGTCCAGCGTGGTGATCAGGATGCAGAGGCACAGCTGGGGGAGTCAAGAGCGGCGTTAGGCTGGGCACGTTTTGTGTACAGGACGATTCAGCGTGCTTCACAGAGAGTTTAAGAGCAGAAAATAGAGATAAAGAAAATAACTAGAAGTTCAACAAAATACAACAAGCATCGATTGATTAGATTAAAAGGGAGGAGTGCAGATAACGTATGTCGGGTTGTCACATGCACTGTTTCAGCCTTGGGGCCTTTCTGAGCTCTTCAGGAAGAATGTTCCAGATTTTAAGAGCACAAAACTGGAACGCGGCCTCTCCTTGTTTGGCAGCAGCAGGACACCAGCTCCTCAGAGTCCCCGCAGGTTCTTATACGTGACAACTCCGACATGTGAGACGCGTCCCCGTGTCCTCAGAGGCCGCGGGGAGGGGCGCACACGCCCGGGCCTCCCCCTGACGGCGGCCGACGGAGTGTGTGTGTGTTCGCTGCTTCTGCGGCCCGATAAGCGACGGCTGGGAGAACCGGCCGGACCGGATCCCCGGCTCATCCCATCAGCTGAACGCTCGCCTTTTGTTTTTCAGCACGTCAGCCGCCGCCGCGCTAAAGCTGGAGTCCTGAACCGTGAAGCGACATGTTCCTGGACACCCTTAAGGCATGTGAACGCTCAAACAGTGCACATTCCAGCCCCCCCCCCACACATACACACACACGCAACTGTATTTTAATGAGTGAAGACTATTTCTGCATCATGCTGAGTGACCCGAGTCATCACACAGTGGAAAGTGTGCAAAATGTGCCGTATTCTTAATCGTTTTGTTCACTTTTTGTGCTGTTCTCGTGCCCAGATGTGTGTCGCTGGTGTTCCGAGAAGAAACTAACAAAGAAGCTTTTTTTTTTAAAAATAAATCTGAGTCTTCGGCAGACGTTACCTGGGCCTGCAGGTCAAAGGTCACCATGGAGAAGCACAGGTTGAGGAGGAAGTACTGCTCCTGGACGCTCTCCAGGGCGCCGCCCACCCGGAAGGCCATCATGTTGGGCCTGCGGATGAGGAGGACGGTGCAGAACACGTGCACGGCTCCCAGGCACACGATGCTCCAGAATCGAACCTGCAACCACACACACACACGACACCTGACACACGAGCGCACAAAAAGCACAAAAAGCACAAAATGCTGAGACGCCTCCGGGTAGCGCCCTGCTTTCTCATCATTCAGGGACCCGACGATTGTCTTTACAAAGAAACCCGACGGGGGACAAAAACGATGTCAGCTTTTAGCGAACGGATTAAAAGCTGTGAGTGAAAATCTACATGGGACGGATCTCCTTCCTGAAGCGGCCGAGTCCGAAACAAACAGCAATACACCGAACTGATGACTAAAATCTGTTTAATTAGTAACTTATTCGGGTGCTTTCGAAACTGTTGCTTTGTGGCTCTCCCACAAAAAGTTGAGCCATTTCTCTTTTATTTTCACTCAGAAACAGCTGGTGTCACACATTGGAGCTTCTTCTTTGTGTGAAACAGAGGACAAAGTTCAGAGAATCTCCCGGCAAATATCGACGGTTTAGCTTCGTGGGCCCGGGGCCGAGACAAAGCCATCGATCTGCAGCTTTCCGCGTTGGTGAGGCAACACTGACATCAGGTGGTGGAGCGGCGCTGCCTCTCCACCCGTTCCCTAAATAAAGGAGGAGTTTGAGCTCACAATGTGGTTACAGTTTAAACCACATACACTCTAAAAACAGGGCCGAGTGCAGAGTGTCCACTAAATCGGGGATTTGTTTCAGGTTTGACGGGGTGTGTGAGCTGTGTGTGTGTGTGGGGGGGGGGGGGGGGTCACCTTCAGCAGCAGGCCCTGCTTGCCCTTTGACCCCACCACGGAGAAGTTGACCACGGACCGGATCATGACCACCAGCACGCTGAGCACGAAGGCCATCAGCTCCTGCCGGTTCTCCTGCAGGACGCCTCGGCTGGTGTAGTAGATGCAGAACACTGCGGGGGACAGGGGTCAAAGGTCAACGGGGGCTTGCTAAGCGCCTCTTGCAAACAAACGGTGATGTCTGTTTCTAACTGGAGACAGAAAAGGGCAAATGAATAGCTAAAGACTGAGATAAGCAGCTCAATAAAACATTTGAAAAAGATGTAAATCATGAGAAATTCATTTTTCCATTTCAATGAACAGATTTGTTTTTTTTTCTTATTACTGAAAAAAATAATAATAATAAAAAACTGTTGTTTGGAGTTCTATTTTTTTTAAAGAACTGAGCTTTGAATCTGTAACGTTTAAAGTGCCCCTCTCGCCGTGGAAAATGAGCTCTCCCGAACCCAAAGCTGGACTTTGAACAGCAGAGGTAAGCGTCCTTTTACCATCACAGCCCTGAATTTAAGGGATGGAACGCTATCAGGGCTGTCTCCTCAGAGCAGATCCAGCTGTTTTATCCCCTCAGAACACATCAGAACACCACACGCTTTCACGCTGTGCTGGACTGAACGTCTACTGAACTATTTGGCGAAACGTTGACTTTAGAGATCTGCTTGTTTCACATTTTCTCTGTTTGTTTCTGAGCATTCTTTTTCCTTTTTCCCCCACAATAATTCAACAACAATCATTCCTTTAAAATCTCTCCAGTGGGAGTCCTGGTCTGTGGGAGGAAAAGCCCCACGAGGGCGCGCCACTCACATATTCCCACCAGCTGGATGAGGGACACGGTGAAGTTGTCCTCGTCGCTGATGTCCGTGTCCATGTGCTGCTGGTAGATGCTGTAGCCGGTGAGGCCCAGCAGCGCCAACAGGGACGCGATGGTGAAGCAGAAGTAGAGCTTCAGCAGGGACGACAGCTCCCCCCACGACTTGATCTGCAAGAGGGAAACCGGGGGAGGGAATCAGCCGGTGAGGACGAGATGGAAGAGCAGCCGGGTCCCTCCTGGGGTCAGGGGAAGCTCACCGGGCCGCATGGCGTGGGGATCAGGTCCTGGTGCCGCGGCCTCAGGTTGGGAGACAGGAGGTCTGGGCTCTGCTGGTGCTGGTGTCCCAGCAAAGGGCTGAAAAACGACATGTTACGAATGAGCTTCGGCTGAGGAATCCCATGACAGCTCTTCATCTTCTTCAGGGCCGTCTAATGGGAGGCCTGATGCTTAAAGATGGAGCCAAAATAACTCCACTCTGGTGAATAACTCAGTTATGGAGCCTGCGAGTCATTAAAGCAAAGCATGAGAGGAAACTCACCATCATCAGAGCTTGAAATGGCTCTAAAGTGAGATTTCTCGTGTAATCTCGTCTAGTAATATAAAAGCAAGTGTGAGTCACTGATGCAAATTGATGCAAAGTTTGCCTCTGTGAAGGCTTTCAGTGCGTCACCTGTCACTGGAACATGAATATATATATATATCAATATATATATCAACATAAAGCAGCATTCGACGGTGAAAATGATCAGATCCGGTTGGTAACTCACAGGAGTTGTGGTTAGACACACTCCATTTACACGTATACACACTTTTAGAGTGACTTATCATCTGTCTGAAGAGACTGAAAGCGAAAGAAAGGTGGATTTAACCAATAGATTAAACTGTATTTGCAGCCTTATTGGTGCCGTCAATAATGACTACAATTAGAGTCAAAGAACATTCACTTCTGATCCTTTTTCAGCATAAAAATCTGAGAAAAGAGTCGACTTTGAGGCTGGTAACACTCCCTAATAAACAGCGGGTGACTACGGACACACCCTGGACTTCCCCAAAACTTTCAACATCAAGGAGTTAAGAAATCCCTCTCATGACACCGGATATACGTCGTCTTTAGACCTCTTTTGGTAAAGCTGTTCAGGCGCTATCTTTGACCTAAAATGTCAAATTAGTTTCTTCTTCCTGTGACCAGTAATACCAGCATACAGGGGAGACCTGCGGCAGGTTTACTCCCCCTCAGCTTTAAAGAGATGCTGCCACAAAAGAGAAAGCAAACAATAAAAAAGATAAAATCACAAACTCATGTTGCTTCTCGGGGATTTCAAACAAAGCCGTTTCTAATTGTTCCTATTTAATTCACCTGCTGTTTATTATGCGGTTATGACCACTTGAAACTTGCTAACAAGCGGAACGAGATCAAAGAGTTTGCTGTTCCCTTTTTCTCACAAAGCAAACGCCCGAAACCGATAAAGATGCAGGAAAAGCCCCTGACCTTATCTCGTCCATTTCCCAGCGGACAAAACAGCGACCCAGAACCCGGACTTTACATTCCGGTGAGCCCTGAGCACAGCGTCCCCATCTCCGGCCCAAAGAAGTTCAGTTTCACATTTTCTCACATCCACAGGGGAAGAGAAACAATCCCAGTTCTTCTACGGTCCCTGGTTTTCTTCTTCTACTGATGTAAGGCGCTACTGCCCCCTAGAGGGCACGGATATATTGCACAAATTACAGATGGCCATCCATAATAATCGTATACATTTTCATTCACACAAAAACACCTCATATTCAAAACATGAAGATTTCAACTTTATTTACAATGCTTAAAAAATACATTTTCTTTATCTGCTTTATTGACTCCAGCAGCTCAAGGGGCCTGTCCCAGCAGTTACGGTACACCTTGGACAGTTTGCCAGTCAATTACAGGGCAACACAAAGAAAAGAAACAACTATGCACACTCACATTCTTTATCAATATTTCAAAATGCTTCCAAATGGAAATACATATGTCGTCAACATTAATACGCTGATTGTTGAATCGATGGATCTAGTCATAGAATTATTTGCAAGGTGCCATAATACGTTTTGTGATGCAAATGCTTTGTTGCCTGTTCAACTTGAAACACAAAATGCTCTCACAGAAGGAATGGTGTTTAACATTTAAGAAGGTCAGTAATAAGGGAAATACTCCAAACAAATGATCTGTTCTTCACTATAATATATTGGTGTAGCGATAAAGGAAGCTGCTGACCCATATCAACAGGACACCCACACTTGTGTGGCTGCCCCCTAATGAATATATATTTACAAACAATGAAGTTTGCCCTTGTTTTTTGGATCCCTTGACTGTGGTCTATTGGTCACAACCAACAATGACACGACGAGACTGTATTCTTCCAGAATACAGTAGTTTTGCTCTTGCTTTTTCTTATTACGTGTACATTTCTATTCAAATAAGGTTGTTTTTTCATAATATAGTTTGACTAAAACACCAACATTGTAGTAAATAAATAAAGTTTCGTTATTTTTTCCAATCAAAGTCATTGGAGATTTTACTTTGAGATACAAATATTGATTAGTAGCTTCATAGAAATGGAGACTTGAACAGTCATAGCTAATCAGCTGTTTTATCACTTCCAAAAGGGTTCTGGAGGTCACTGACCCAATCAAGTTCCATACAGTTTAATGGTACCGGAAGTAGGTTACTGTCAGTAATAAAGTTAGAAAAATATATTTTTCTAAAAACAAGGTTGTAAGTCACTTAAATTTTGAGCAAAATTATCAGTACATCAATTTCATATACTGCTTATTCCCAAAAGCGTAGCGGGGGTTAGCAAAATTAGCCCAATTGTTCGGTTAGGCAGTGTTAATTACATGAACTTGAACTTTTCAGTCACTGTGTTCGTAAGGATAATTTATTCTGAAAGTCTTACCTCGTTTCCTGTGTCCGTTGCTTGGTAACTTGACGTCGCGCTTAAACTCTAGCCACGTCCCTACGGCTCGCGGCTCCATGCCACCGACGCAGAGCTTTGCATCTTCATTGTCTCCTGGCGTTGGTTTGGGAAACGGACTCCGGCGTTGTGTGGCATGGCTGACAGGGAGCCCACTTGTTCTGGAGACACCCCTTTACCTGGCATGTGGCAGATATCAACAGCGTCTTGCTAACCTCACCGTGGAGCTTCCTCCTTTGACTAAACTCCCGTCCCTCTGGGACGGAACAACCCGCTCGAGCATCGAGCCCAACCTGAGGCGCCCAGAATTACAGAGGTAGGAATTCTCCCTCAATTTGACTCAGTTTGAGTCTTAACGCTGGACTAGTTTAACACCACAACAATGAGCTAGCAAGCCCGCGGCTCTGTTCAAAGTGGAGTCGTTTCGTAGTCTATTGTTAAAAGAGGAAAATGTCAATCTCGACCGGTTGAACTCAATTGGTTTAATTCACCTGTAAAATTCAGGTTTTTCCCCAGTCCACCGCGTGCGCCCGTTTTTAACGAGCTTTAAGGTTTCGTGGTTCAGATTGGAGTCATTTGAAAGTGAATAGACGCCTCTGTCATTTAAATGAGGCAAACGGATTTATGTTCCCTAACCACATGTTACACAATAACCCCGAAGGTGCAACTACAGCCACGTTCAAAAGGTGTTTTCTGTACAAAAGTACACATAGTTTCGTATTCAACGCCTTAAACACAATTCAGTTGTTTACTTTAATGAGCATTTAAACAACACTAAATCAACACAACCCTTGACCTGCATCTATGGGCATGGTCCAGTTTTGCAGGTTTGGTCTCTGACTGTACACAGTAGTTGTCTTGTTTTTTGTGTTATTTATTCCAGGCTATATTTGTATTCGTGTGAATAATTTCAATCTATATTTCATCTGTTGATTATACTTGTTGTACACATAGATTACCAATTAATAAATCTAGATCATATCATTTTTACCCTCTGCCTGTAGATAAAGTTTTATCTTGTTAATCTGATGTTGCTGCAATTCAACAAGTGTTTACTCAGGGAGGGAACATTAAAGAGCAAAAATAAGTCAGACACGGGTCTAACTGAATGCAGTCTAACTCAATTCAGCTGGAAGCCAGATGAGTCCAGATCATATCAGTTATAGATCAGTCCCATTTATTTGAAATCAGTTCATTACAGTGCTGTTCAGTGTGATGGGAAATGCATGTTCATTGGAGAAAAAAAACTGCGGATTACGGATTAACCTTCACTTTGATTTAGTGGCTTTTCCTGAGTATGTAGTGCATGAGAGGAGAGGGTGACCCCTCAGTGAGGGGTGAATCACGTCTGCCTCAGCGTTTTACCGGTGTGTGAAAACAATTATAGATGGAGAAAAGAAGAAAAAAATCGGATTCACCAGGGAGGCTTTTCTGTCTTTCAGGGTGTTAAGAAGATCCGCTGCAGCCCTGAACGACCAACTCGCTTTCTTTGGCCATCACAAGATGGAATAACAGTCCAAACACCCGCCTGCCTCTTCCTCTCCCTCTGCTGAGCGGCCTGTCGGGCCCCTGAGGGCCCGCAGGCAGCAGGTGTGATGGCAGGCGACAGGCACTCGCTGTGGCACCTGATGTCCCCGTTCCGCACCCGGCAGGAGCGGGTGCTGCTGACCCGCAGCGAGAGCCTGCCGGGGGAGCAGGTGCTGAAGATCACCGTCACAGAGACCACCGTGATCGAGACCGAGTCCGGCGTGTGGAACTGGCGCTCCCTCTCATATCTGGGCCTCTGGTTCTTCTTCAGCTTCTGCACTCTGTTCCTGAACAAGTACATCCTTTCCCTGCTGCAGGGGGAGCCCAGCATGCTGGGTAAGTGGGGGTTTTGTTTCAGGTTTAGATCATGTTCAAGCTTTTTTCATATTTCTGCTGGTCGGGTGCAGGGTGTTGCTGTGCATCAGCCAAACAAAACAGGAGCATGTATTCATATATGGCATGAAGGGACAGAAAAACAGGTCCTGTCGGTTGGAATGGAGGCAATTTTGGTCAATGTTTGCACGTTTAGACCTGCATGGCAGGTAATCAGCATTTTATGAACGGCACAAACGGTACATAATGTTGGTGGACAGATCAGATAGTTGTTTTTACACGGAGGCAGTTTTAAAGATAAAATAAAGATGATTCAAGATCCACAGAAAATTACAACATGTAAAAAAGCTGCGTTTTCTATTAAAAATTGAAAGCTATAAAAAAAAAATATATTTATCATGGTCGAAGGACCAACAAGCTCTAGCTCCATCCCTAATATCTTTAAATTGAAACAAAAGAAAACAAAATTACAAACTACATAAAATGTCTTAAAGAAAACTCTTGAAAGCAGGATCTTTAATTGCCCTTTTAAAGGCATTTGTTTCCTGATGAAACCTGGACCTGATGAAAATGATTTGCAGTCCACAGTCGAAGCACATGTGTCTGCTGGTCCCCAGGTGCTGTTCAGATGCTCTCCACCACCATCATAGGCTGCTTGAAGATGTTCATCCCGTGCTGCTTGTACCAGCACAAGTCCAGATCCGAGTACCCGCCCAACTTTGTCATGATCATGCTGTTTGTCGGACTCATGAGGTTCCTTGTTCTCCTTTCGCTGCACGTTTACTGGCGTGGATGGTGGCGTGGTGCTGACTGCCTCTGCTTGTTAGGTTCACCACGGTGGTGCTGGGCCTGGTGAGCCTGAAGAACGTCGCAGTGTCGTTCGCTGAGACGGTGAAGAGCTCAGCTCCTATTTTCACTGTCATCATGTCCCGGCTGATCCTCGGGGAGTACACAGGTAAACCTGCTGGGTGTTTGTGCGCTCAGACAGCAATAAGTGCATTTCAAGACGATAGCTGATGCACACAGTTCTGTCATCCACTCCTCGGAAACTGGCTCCATCTGTTAATGTCTTTTTAGTTTGGGAATCAGGCCGTGGTTTGTGTTGATCTGTGTTGTTGGTTTTCCGTCCTGCAGGGCTGTGGGTGAACCTGTCCCTGTTTCCCGTCATGGCAGGACTGGCCCTCTGCACAGCCACAGAGATCAGCTTCAACATGCTGGGCTTCTCGGCCGCCCTGTCCACAAACATCATGGACTGGTGTGTACAGCAGCACTGGGCCCAGCCGCCGTCAGGGCCACGCTCTAACTAACCCTGCTTCTCTCATCTCAGCCTGCAGAACGTTTTCTCCAAGAAACTACTAAGTGGAGACAGATACAGATTCAGGTAAACGGACACCCAGCCCCATCCTTTCTCCCGTTTTTGTGTCTCTTTAAAAACTCTCATTGGTGGTCTCATTTCAGTCCTCCAGAACTGCAGTTCTACACCAGCACGGCGGCCATCATCATGCTCATCCCAGCCTGGGCCTTCCTGCTGGTAAGTGAACAAAGATGCTGGAAAAATACAGGAACCTAAAGTCTGTAAAAAGTCAAATGACTTTTCGTACTCATGACTGATAAGATAGAAGGAGAGCAGACAGTCAGAGGATATCTATGAACTATGAAGATGGGTGAAGGTGCAACAGTTGATGATAACATGACTCTGATCAGAGCTCACGCCAGCTGATGTGTGAACGGGTCTTGCTGTGCACGTGTCTCCAGGACTTCCCTGTGGTGGGGAGCAGCGGGCAGAGCTTCATCTTCAGTCAGGACATCATGCTGCTGCTGCTTTTTGATGGATGTCTGTTCCACCTGCAGAGCGTCACAGCCTACGCCCTCATGGGAAGGATTTCCCCGGTTACTTTCAGGTAGGATGGTGACAAAAACTAAAGCATTTGTCGGTAGATCCTCGGATTTTAATCCAGCTGCAGCTGGTTCAGTTAAAGTTGACACTGAGCAGAATGCTCTAATCTTCTTCACTTGATCCCAGATATAGTCTAATACCAGAAATAGCACATGCTCACATTTGATTTTTTCGGTGCACTTGAGTTTAGTTAATTTTAATTTCAGACAAATCACCCATAATAACTAAATGTGGAATATCTAAGAACAGTGTTTGGTTTGTGTAAAAAAAAAAAAAGAAAAAACTGACAAAAGTTTGTATATTCGTCTTTGAAAAGACGAAATGTTTATGCCAGATTTGTTTGGAATAACTACATTTTACAACGCTGTTGTGGATCCATTTGAAGACCTTGTTGCTCTGAAAAGCAGCAGCGCTCAGCTTGGGAGCCGCTAAGGCGCTCTGACCGTCCTCCCTCTTCTCCAGTGTTGCCAGTACCGTGAAGCACGCCATGTCGGTTTGGCTGAGCATCATCGTGTTCAGCAACCAGATCACAATGCTCAGCGCCGCCGGCACCGTCTTCGTCTTCATCGGGGTCTTCCTGTACAACAAGGCCAGACAGATCCAGAGGAAGGCCTTGCAGGCGATGGCGGCCGAGCAGAGCCAGAAACCACCGCTGCCCAGCCAGGACTTCCAGGCCTCTGCGTCTAAATGAGAGGCCTCCACACATTCCAGATGCTCCCAGCAGCTCCCCGGTCGATCCCTCAGGGGCCGAGCCGTGGAGCCCTCAGCTGTCTGTGGCCTTCACAAACAGTTTGTCTTAGTGCGTGACCCGTTTTCCACTGTAAGCCTCTTTTTGTTGTCTCGTGTTGGTCAGTACAACCGAAGCTCAGGGGGACTTTCTGCTTTCTAAAAGAAGCGATAAACATTTGTGTGTTGGTTGATCACCTGTGGTGCAGCGGCTGCTAAATATCAGGTATCTGCAGATAAACGGGGGGGGGGGGGGGTTGGTACCTGTGGTTAAAATAGTTTGGCTTGTCCAGACCAATCTTAGAGTGGCTGTTGGACAGGTCAGAGCCACGTTTTGCATTCTAGGAATGCCCATGCTCGGACAGGTACGCGTAGGCGTTCGGTTCCGTCTGTGAAATGACTTAACGTACTCTTAATTCTGCCCCGTGCTGCCTCTCGTCTGTGTGCCCCGTCTGAAGGCCTTTAGACCGGACAGGTCAGTGCTAATCACCATCAGTCTTTTGTTTGTCCTGCTTGTGTGTGGAAGCACTTTAGTGAAGCTTCACATGTTGCTGCTGTTTCCTGCCTGAAAAAGCAGCCTCGTCTTTTCTTACTGGCGTCCTGAGCACAGAGGTCCATCCTAAGCAGCGACTGACCCGAAACATGGTTTTTATTTTTCTTTAGAACATGTTGATTCCATGAGGATATATCATTTTTATTTTTTCAAGGTTTCTTAATGTGGAGCCTCTCAAACAGGTGTCGGCTGCAGTTTGATTGTCACACCACACAAAGCTGTGGTTTTATACTGACAGGAAGTGACACGCTGTAGGTTCAAACGCACACTTTGCCAAACTGTTTTTAACGTTTCTACATGGAAAACTGTTATGAACCGTATGCTTGATCATGAAAAAAACAAGAAAAATGTGTCAGGATGTAATGATTATGCAGAAAATAAACTTCAGCAAGCTGTCCGGTTTGAGTGGTTCGTAAGGCTTAAGCAGAGATAACTACCCACACACGAGAAAATAGGAGGATACATATGCCCTCTGATAAGATAACAATAAGTACAGCCAACTATGTGTTCATAACGGGGACGTAGGTGCAATGCTCCATCAGAAGGGGAAGCAACATTTTCTTCTTGAGCTTCATTTTTTGCCCCAAGACTTTACTAGAATTGTTTTTTTTATGTACAGTGGACATTAGCTAAAGCTTTAAGAAGGAAATCTGTGATGAGGCCTCTTAGCCCAGCAGGTAATCATCTTTCCCACAGATAAGGGTCTGTGTGAGGGGTATTTGGCTTAGGAACCCTCCTGAGTAAATAACCCAGAAGTTTCCATGGAGGAGACAAAACGGGATAGGTTTGAATTCTCCCAGTGTAAAGGAAATGAGCTCCAGTGCTTCCTTAATTACCCCCAATTACCACAGAGAAATGAGATCCTGTCCCACAAATCCTTTTATGGCCCTGAGCATTTGTATTTCCATGCAATGGTATTAACTCTATAAATATGACGAGGGGGTCGGTAGGAGTCATATGGGGCAACCTTTTTCTCTTGTTTTAGACTCACAAACTAAAAGTAACATTGTGCAGGATTTCTAACACGTGACGCATTCAATTGCAAAGGGAAAACCTTTTGTCAGAAAATGTATGGCAGGTCTGTGGTTCCAGTGCAGCAAACCCACAGCTCAGTGTTGTCCCATTCTCACGGCACGACACTCTGGAATATTTGTTCCTATCTTCTTTCACCTTTGTGGAGGCATCGTCCGGTCAAAAGAAGACTTAGTGGGCATTGTTCCACCTGGCAGCGTGTGATCAGTTAGTCCGAACGGCAGGAAAAAAACAGAACGGGGACTGAAACACAACTGCTTTGTCTGAAAAATGGCACTGGGAGTCATGTGGAGAGCATGTGAAGCCCTGCAGTCCAGGACAAACAAATGCTTTATTTTAAACAAATTGTGGATGTAAAAAGAGATCCAAGGAATGTAAAACTGAAACCTGAAAACAGAGTAGAAGGAAACATAGGACTGGGTGGAATGAGGAAGGACAATGACACCATGACAAGGATCTGATCTAGTGAAAAGGAATATATTTATACTAATGGAGCTCAGAACTAAGAGATGGAAGGAGGTTTTCAAAAGGAATTCCAGTGGAAGATAAATAAACCACAGCACTGACTAAACCAGACCACGAGACCTTTAAAAGCAGAACAGAAAACAGAACTGAGCCAAACTAAGACAGAAATCTGGACTGACAAATGTGATGACAACAGTGTAAAGAGGAGACAGTTTAATCTGTCAAAGAGCAATACAGATTGCACTCAATAGTTAAATCAACTTTTCAACTCAATCCTTAAAATATGTCATTTAATTTTTTCGGTGTAAATCCACAGCTGTAGCAGTAGGAAAAAATCACCCTTTCTGTCATTGATTTCCACTGCAAGTAAACAGGACTATTCAGTCATTTCGTTTTCTTTTTTTTAAAGGAGACATGTGGTTACAATTCAGTTTAAATTAAATGAAAATGTATTTATTGATATGCCTCCAAATCAGGAAGTCCAATTCAAGCTAATTAGCATCCATGTCATCACAGAATAATCATAATCCGATCAATTCCAGGTCATTAAATTCCAAATTGTTCTGAATCTTAAACTGCGTGATTAAAAACGTCACCATATCTTCCCCACAATTCAGACCAGATTCCATCTTTTAAAACTATTTTACAAACAATTTACAGTGAATTTTCATTAAAATCATTTAGAACCAAACATCCGCAGACGTACATTTAAAAAGTGCACTTTGAAGGGTTACAGCTTCAAACTAAATCAAAATAAGGCCTCTGCTCCAGGTGTTTTGCAGAGTCAGTGCTGAGGGGCTCTGTTGAGCCGTCAAAAGGACAAAGTCTCTAACTGGTGCCCAAGGAAGTGCATGGGCACCCTTTCACAGCTTCCCAGAGCACGCGGTTCAGATCAATATGTTCAGCAGCCCGACGTTTGGTGGCGGCGTGCTGCACAGTCTGGAGCAGCAGATGGAGGCGGAGGAGGCAGCAGTTGGAGCCGCTTTCCTAGCAGCATGGGAGCAGCTGATGGGTCTGACAGAGAATCACGCCTCGCCGTTGAATAGCTGCAGAATAAAGGATGGGATTCACCGCCGTGTCCTAGTGAATATGCTCGCTTTGTCTATTTTCAGAGATTCTCTCATTTTTCCAAATGCAAAAGTGCCACCTGTCTGTGCTTTTTCTGGATATTTAAACTTCAATCGCAGTTTGAACGGTAAAAAAAAATCAAATAAACATTTGCAGTACTATTTTTTAAAACATGTGTCAGTGATTATGTTATTTTCATAGGAGTTGAACACTTAAAAATGATGAAAATCCAAAATAATGTTCTGGATTTTCCACAGCTGCTTAACCCTGATGAAGTCACACGATGCTCAGATGGACTTAATGCTCTTTTCGGTGTGTGTGTGTGCGTGTGTGTGTGCGGACGCTGGCTGTTTGACCCGTTCTACATGAGACAGAAAAGGTACTTCGGAGTTTTTCGATTAGAGACACCGTCAACTGAGAGAGGGAGACCTACAGGGAGTTGGTTTACAGCACCTAAAAATGTCCAGAGGGCGTCCACAGGGCGTCCAAAGGCCACCTCATCCCGCTGGTGGGCAGAGGACCTTCATCAGACTCTCGTAGCTGAGGAAGGTGATGGCGTTGACGGGGAAGGCCCTCAGGCTGTTCAGCAGGAGGCCTTTGAAGAAGACCCTCGGCCCTTCCTCCCGCAGGCTGACGCTCATGCAGTGCAGGACCCCGCTGTAGCGCCGGCCGCCCGCCCCGGACATCTGCAGCCGGGCCTTCACCACGTCCATGGGCGTGGCGAAGGCCCAGGTCACCACGCCGGCCACACCCCCCGCCATCAATATGGCAAAGGTACCTTAAAAAAAACCAGGAGACATTTAGAGGTGCTACAGCAGGATTTCAGAAATGATTAAGGCACCTAAACTCAGACAGGTGCAGGTTTGCCACTATAGAGGACATGTTTGTTGATCCGCCATCAAGGAAAAACTTAGACAAAAAGATTAAAAGAAAGAAAGGTTTTCATCAACAGTAGCTTAGTAATTCCCAGGAGGCACAGTCACCCCTCATTTTTCTAAGCTTCTGAGGACAATCATTTTAACGTAGTCTGACACTCAGTCAAAACCAATATAAGCTCAGTGTGAAAAGTATAATTGACCACTTTGTAAAGCGGAGCTGGTATATTCAGTATTTATCAGTATGATATTATCTCGTTAGTTTGGTTTGGTTGGCGGGGGTCTCAGACTGACCAGGCTGTTGGTCGGTCTCAGCCAGAGCCTTGCGAGTGACCTCATAAGGCAGGAAGTAGAGTCCATAGCAGGGGATGTCCCTCAGAGCGAGAGCCACGCCTCCTCTGAACAGACCCCGCGGTCCCTCCTCCCTCAGTATGACCCTCATGCAGTGCAGGGGTCCACGATAGCGGCCAGCGGACGTCTGACCCTGCAGACGCACCTTCACCAAGTCGATCGGTGCACACACCAACACCTGAAAGTAGATTTTGGAAAAACAACTTTTTTTTACCCGAACATACAACGCATCACTGTGTGAACAGGGGGACTGTCAGCAACTTTGTGAAAAAGAGATTCTTACCTGCACCAGGCCTGAGAAGCAGCCAGCAGTGAAGACCTGTCCGGCCGAGGCCGGCGTGCACTGACCCGTGTGACCACGCTGAGACCCAGTCAGATAGTCCAAAGCGTTACTGTAGGAACCGAAGACCACAGAGTTGACGATGCCGGTGGTCATCACTGGAAATGCCATGCCCTTGAAGAATCCTCTGACCTCATTTCACAAAGGCCACACAAACACAAAAGCATTCCTGGTTAAGCCTCTGTTGCATCGGTTTGTGATGCAACAATCGTGGTGTGAGTGTAGACTGCATTCCTTACCCCTTCATGGGAGTACGTTTTCCTAACGCAGTGAAATATTCCTTTATACAAAGAGCGGGCCTGCAGACGCACCTACGAATGAAACAGAAGGTGTCAGGATGAGCCCAGAAACGTTAAGTCGTGCACAGGTGTTTCGGTGTGTGGTGCAACCTTAATGGTGTCAAACGGGTGTCCAACTGCAAGTCCCAGTGCACCTACAGCCAAAAAGGAAATGTGAATATATTTCCACACATATATTGCTGTACATCGTTAGGTTTTCAGTTAATTTTACTAGTCATTTTTTACCTGAAATGCTCCCAGCTATGAATTCCAAAAATGGCATGGTTTGTATAGTTTCACAATCTGCAAGAAGATCAGTGTTCCTGTGTTGTTATGAGGATAATGCATGAAAATGGATCCATACACCTGCTGTAAAGCACCTGGTTGTCGTTTAAACTTAAAACATGACCTCCAAAATAAGGTTCAGTGTTCAAATCCTCTGTACTTGAATACAGGGATTAATTCACATAGGCAATGCTCTAGTTATTTTTGCCGAGGATGTAACCGGATTTGAGACCGTATGAGAATATTGCATTTCCTCAGCAGATCGCTGCCAAACTTTACATTTTACACCCCATCTCTGTTCAAAGGTTGGCACATACAAACACACACATGCTCAATGCTTACCTTTTCCTAGCGTCACCTCGTATTTACAATATTTTCGAGACAGTAAGGCTCAATGTCAGACTGTAATGTGTCAGTGTCAGCGCGTGAGTGATCTTTGACTCCCACTGTGGGCATATCCATGCCGCTGACTCCTCAGATCAGGCGTCATGTCGAAGTAGTTAACCCTCAGGTAAATCTTTTTTTTTTAACAGACTACACATTTAGTTTTGTTCTTCTTCTTTTTATTATTATGAATACATACCAGAATTATGCTCACTGATTGTGTTTTCCTATACTGTACAGCAAAATAATCCATATATGACCGTTGTTATGTATTCATATTTAAAACATTAATGCACCAGGCTGCTTGTGACGTCATCACCGGTGGACGGCACGACAGCAAATCGCTTGTAAACAATAACTGACGTCACTTTCCCGCGCTGGGAAGTGATCTCCGATCTCAACACGAAAAATGCTGCGTTTCGTGCTGTTAGATTGATCATATTCTCGTCCCATTTTAAAGTGTAGTCTTTTTTTGTGTTTTTTGTCCTGATTTGTCAAGTCGAGGAGATACAAAAAGAGAACTTCTCTCAAATAAAAACATCGCTGCTTCATAGCGAATACGTAGCGGGAAAAACTTGCACCTCGAGATATTTTTAGCCGTTGATGGGTATATAAAACATGACAACGTTAACGAGGCAAGATCTCAATTTTGGACAAGGTGAGATAACCATTTACGAAATGTCCAGCATACTAACGGTGGGTGTGGTCTATGTCTTCTACCCCCAAAAAGTTGATGCTTGTAAACGGGACTAATCTCATATTATGAGGCTGACAAACTGCAAAATAATCTCCATATTTTGTTCAAACCCGACATGTATTAATCGTTGGACGTTGTATTTACAGTGTATTTACATAAGGGGTGTTTGATGGTGATAACATTTTGGAAATCTGTGCGTCATACTGAGATGGTCCCTCTTTTCCAGTGGTGGCTGACATATTGTGCGAGTTCCTAGAGGTCGCTATTCATCTCATCTTATATGTTCGTGAAGTTTATCCCTCTGGGATATTTCAGAAGAGAAAAAAATACAATGTACCTGTGCAGGTACGGATTTCAACATTTAAAAAGATTTTCTAACAAGGCCTTCGCTTTCTGTACCTCTTATTCCAATTTTCTATCTTGTTGTAGATGTCCTGTCACCCTGACCTTAACCGATATATTCAGGACACCCTACACTGTATAAAACCACTCATTGAGAAGGTAAGATTGTTAAGGTGGTGTGTTTTGCAAAGTGTCCCTTGCACCCCCGCTTGTATACACTCTCTGGTCACATCCTAGAATGATGCAGAGAAGGTGGTGGTGGTCATCATGGACAAGGAGCATCGTCCAGTGGAGCGATTCGTGTTTGAGATTTGCCAACCTCCTCTTCTGTCCATCAGGTTTCCTTCCACATTATGATTGACCATGGCCATAAACCCCCCTTTTTTCTGAATGTGATGGTGCTCAGTAACTGCTGCCTTTGTCGTCACAGCTCGGACTCTTTGCTGACTCATGTGGAGCAGCTTTTGAGGGCGTTCATCCTGAAGATCAGCGTGTGTGATGCAGTTTTGATTAATAACCCACCAGGTAACCAAACAGTTATGATATTTTCACAGCAGTTCGAATGAACCAGTTTCATATAATATGGATAATTGAATAAAACACACAGAAAACAACTAGTTTGTGATCAACTTAGGGTGTACTGTGCCTCTCTCTCTGTCCTAATACAATCTAAAAACAATAAGTAATTAATAAGTAATTAGCTTAATCTATTTGAGCTGAATTAAAATGAGAACTTAAATGATGCCTTTTGGTGTTACAGGGTGTTCTTTCACAGTTCTTGTGCACACCAGAGATGCTGCTACCCGAAATATGGAGAAGGTTCAAGTCATTAAGGTACTTATTAAACTAGGTTCATTACTTTTGATGCACATCGATAGCTGTAGCATACTTTGCTTGACAAACTTTGCACTGAGACAACAGAGTAAGCCTTTTGACGGCTCTGTCCCTTTTGCCTCCTCAGGATTTTCCATGGATAGTCGCTGATGAGCAGGAGGTTCACATGAAGGAGCCGAGACTTATTCCACTCAAGTCCATGACGTCTGACATAGTCAAAGTGAGCTTAGGATCCCTTTCTTTGATCTTCATTGAGAAAAATGAATGTTCAGACCTAATTATGTGGTTCAGACACTTTCTGTGATTCTTTTTAAGTGTCAAGTTAAAGCGAAAAAATCCTCTGTTTAACTGTATGTATCTATTTGTGGCTTTTGCTTGAACAGATGCAGCTTTATGTGGAAGAGAGAGCCCAGAAAACGTAGGGCTTTTCTTTGGGGAACGAGCCAATCCGCGATCACAGATCACACCATGAACAGCATGTTAAACATGTCCGGACGAAGCTGGATCCATAAATTCTCATTCAACTTTTGAGGACATGAAACCTCAAATGTGCATTTGTGACATATCGGTTGTCGTTCATCGAGCTGATTCAGAGACTTCACTAGCTGTGTTCCATGTAGGTGCATGCAAACGATCATCTCAGAAGCTTTTTTTCCTGCTGTAACAGTAATCACTCTTATACAGTCAATTTTAAGATGAGGTTCAGCTTTTTGGAGTGTTTGTCTTAACGTTCTCAGCCCACACGTCTGGCTTTTGTAAATAAACCACGACTCTGTTTATTTTACTTTGTCTTTGCTGACTGCCATTTTTCACGTGGCGTCCGCAGCGCTGTCTGCCAACAACATGTCAGATCTGCAGACAGTTTTGCTTCAATAAATGTGTGTGTACATTTGACATTGAGCTACCGGTACTATTTCCCTTTACTGATCGTAATCGTAATCCTATACATTAGATGAGTAAACTGAGCATTCACTGAAAACTCACTATCGAAGCAGCCATCCAAGATTCAGCCATACGTATTCATTTAAATAAAACTGTTTTGATAGATTTTACCTGCAAAATAACAAAAAACAACAAAGAAAACATTACCGGTCAAAACTTTTTACTAAAAATGCCTAATCTCTCCCCAGGGCTCTGCTATGAGCACCTATGTATGTAGTAGCCCGTCACGTATCCGATGATGTAAACGGACACCAGCGCAGCTCCAGCTCCTGCTGCTTTCACCACGGTTCCGGTGTTCCCCACACAGACTCTGCTGTAGAGCCTGTAAATGGAAGAAAAAATGTGTCAGTCCCACATCCAGCAGCCATCAGTGTGAGCTGTTGGGTTATATTTAGATTAAAGGCTAATATGCAAAAGAGAAGTACACCATGTTTTATTCCCATGACCGGAATACACTCATGATAACTTTTGTATATTTTGATGGGAATCTTCAAAAGTATATTATAAGACTACTAATCTTTGTTATTTATTGATGGATTAAAAGGTCACTTAAACGATGACACACAAACTAGCTGCTCTCAGTCACGTTTTCATTCCACTTTCTGACATCAGATCTGCACATCACACGTGTTAATTCAGCATTACAATGATCATCTGTACATAGAGTTTCTGGTTTTCCAGAAAACGTTCAGCTCTCTGAGGGCTGCGCTCTTAAAGGATTAAGGCCCAGCAGCCAGACATCCACGACATCTCACCTCCTCCAAGTCGACTGGGAGGCCTCCACGTTCATGTTGATATTGTCCTCGTTCCAGCGGTCGTACTGTACGCTGCCGGCACTGTTGGACTCCATGATGGGATGTTTTCTCCTTCTCTCCTCTGTATTTGTGCTCACCTGCTGCTTCTCTGTTCAGCCAGGTGTGTTGTGACACATGGAGGATGTGGAGAGTTCTGTGTTTAACAAGATCACTTGAAGTAAATGAGAAAACATGATGCACCGACTGCATTTTGTGTTTCATTTACTGTTGAGCGAACATTAATTACCAACTTATTCACCATAATGAAGCGTAATTAGACGAGTTTCATGCCATAAATTCAGGTTAATCATTAGTTTCAATAGGCTACGAGTGAATGGTTTGGAATTCAGCTCATACCTCTCATTCAGGAGACAGAGTGCTCACCTTTTTCAGCCTAAAAACGGTCACCAGTCTGTTTAATAAGCTCTGCTCACCGGCACATCCAGATCTAAGACAGGCAGAATGTGTTTGCCTCTGCTGAGTATTTAAAAAGAAAAAAACTTGGTCACAGTTCATGTGCTCAACCTGTCATAAATCCATTGCTCCCCGTCAGCTCGTTGCTTTTCACCTCGTTGCACGGCTCTTTCTCACTGATAAAAGGCCGGTCCTGTGGGGTGGGTTGGTCTCTGGGTTCCAACCTTTATGTGCTGATAGGACAGCATGCCAAAGGCAGGTAGCATGATTTTTATGACTTAGTTTCTCTTGCTGGTCTGATGGAGCCCCTTTGTTCGGCGTTGGTGACAGCACCCCCTTCTTTCTTCAAATGGAAGTAAAGTCACTCACGAGCCTTTTAGTTTGACTTGGTTTCATAAATGAGGGCAGCTCACGCACATCTGTTTCTTGAAGTTGCAACCTGTGAAAACAGTCATCAGGCGTCTGTTGCCTGAAAAATAATCCCGCAATTCCTGCTGCACTGGGAGCTGAGTGCATAAGAATAAATGGGATTCATTTTCACTGATACTTCACACATCACATTTCTTTGATGTTCTACAGTTTAATCCTGTCAGGGTCTTTAATTGTGCTCCCAAACTGAAATTGTGAGTTTGTGTTTGAGCACAGAGCTTCTGAAGTATTTAGAAATGTGAAAACTAAGACAGAGTGCATTCTGATATCCAGTTTTAATTACCTTTGAGGTTTCAGGTTGTTCCAGTAAACCTTGATTAAAAAAATGTATATATGAAAAATAGGATTTTATCAAATCCTTTGTCCTTGTCAGATTAATTCGATGTTGCCCATAGACCCCTAGAGACCAGTAACAGTGTTATGGAGAGAATGTAAAGTTGTGGTTCAGCAACCGCCATTATCTTGCTTTGACTCAAACCACTACCAACCCTCAGATGACCTTTGGTACGAGACACTGAACATGCCTTTGACTGAGCAAAGCTCAAGGCTGAAGCAACAGAAAAAAACAGAGGAGCGAGTTCACACAGTTAAAAACTCATTTTAAGAAACCGAAAACATGAGTCTGGAATGTGGGATGACTTCAATCAGATCGACGTCCACACATTTTTTGTAAAAGCTACAATGTTTATATAGAATTTTCTTAGGCAGATGTAGGATTATGTTTTCTTTTATCACATCGCTCCTGCCGACTTCCTACTTCCTACCAGGGTGGCTGACTCCGGACATAAATCCACTGCATGGCTTGCTTCAAGGTGAGCTCCCATTCATTCGTTTTTCTCTGATTTCAAGAGAAATCCCCGCTGTTTCTGAACTGTGCAAAAGTAGGGGGTCGTTGCTGTTTGTTTGTGATGAGTGTCCAGCGTTTTGTGACCTGCAGGGTTGGTGGGCTCATGTGGGATCTCCGTGCTGTGCTCTCTGTTGAGGGTGCACTTATTACTGGAGGAAAGGTGAGGAATGAGATTATTTGTTTTTTTTGGTTGTCCATTCAAAAATGATGCTAAAAAAATCCATAATGCTCTATTTTCTTCCGTAACAGAAAGGAAAACAATGATTCAGCCACATCAGGCGAGAACAGGAGTTCATCGGGTTATCAAATAAAGACAAAAACTGGGCTTGTTGGGATGCTCCAGTTTTGCTTTGTGACTGGGATACTGGCTATAGTGGGATCGCGTGTGGCATCACTGGTCATACTTGAATTTTGCCTTCGGGCCATTTCTGGACTGGCTACAGCTGGACCGGTAAGAAAATACTCATTTAATGGCAGCTTTCTCTGGTTCTATGGTGATACTCTAGTTTTCCTATGACTAAAGAGGGGAAAGTTGTATCAAACACTGATGTCAATGAATATCTCCTGCAACTCTGACATACTTTGGCCACAAAGGCATCAGCCCAACACCAAAATGGATGTGATTAAATGTGAATATAAACAGAAAACAAACATCTGCAAATCTTAAAGACGGATTTTATTCACGATAGAACGCAGAAAAAGCACAGTTGAAAAATCATAATCTTTTATAGTTTCAGAGGGCATTGGTCTATGAAACTGGAAGCGTCCACATCTGGAAAGACAGTATCAGGGTTTTGGAACCACAAATACTTGCATCCATCTTTGTCACTGAAGGTCTCTGCAAAATAAAGCTAAATCATATGTTGCATCCATTACGACAGTAGTTCCATATTTGGTGGAATCTGATTTTTGTTTCTCGTCACAACCATTCATTTATAGAATTGCATCCCTTTTCAATCCTAAAATGTGCCAAAAGGCATAAACTCTGTGTAAGGCAAAGAGCACTATACATTTCTTTTCATGTCCCAAACGGGCCGTAATCCTCAGCAAACTTGTTTCACTGTTCCAAAGACTTATTTTATGTGTGCTGGAATCTTGCACTACTATTATCAGCTGTTGTTCATTGGAAACACTTTTCTCTTCACCAGTGGAACTTTGCATAAGAGAAAGTCAGCCTAAGGTGTTAAAACACTGTATAAGAACAGAATTCAGTCATATGGACAATAATCGCTGGCTCTGCTGCTAAATCAAGCATAAAATTGCACTTGACTTGATTTCCTGAGGTTCCTCTTGCTGTTGTAAATTCTACATTTTGAATTTACATTTTGAATCACTATCACAAACATGTTGCGGAACATCTGCTTCGACTAATCCATCGTTTCCCCTTATTACTCCACAGGAGTCCAGGAAATTTCTGCAGCAGCTGTTAGTGCAGAGCCAGTTCTCCCTGGGCTGCGCCCTGAGCTGCAGTTTGCACTTCCTCCACGAGGGGGCGTCCCAGCGCTGGCTCTGCCTGCTCCTGGCAGCAGCCCTCAGCTGGTTCCTTGCCCGGCAGGCCACAGGCCTTCTGCACCATGTCACGGCTCTGTATAAACTCCACAGCTCACAGCGATACTGTGGCATTTGCATCGGCCTCCTCACATCAGGCTGCCACCTGCTGCCCATTCTTCGCAGGACGATGATCATCACCTTCTTTGTGGCCGCGCTCGCTGGTGTATCGATTATTAACCAACAGTTTCTTTCTGCAACGGAGGCTCTTAGGTTTTGGACACCACTGACTATCTGCTATACTCTGTTGGTGGTGTACATGCAGGGTGAGGAATGTATAAAATCGTCACGCTGAATTGCAGGGGACAGACAGCCCATTGCATTTAAATGTGACTTCAATGTGAACACAAGAACAAATAGAAAGAAACATGAATGAATTAGAAAGGTTTCCTCTCTGTGCTCTATGCTGATAACAAACCAGTCTTCAATATAGGATTATGTGATATTTTGGTAACAAAGTAGACCTGTCCATCATCGTGTATTTGCCTCTAATGGGCCTCTGTTTTTGTTTTTTACAGAGGAGCAGCATCGTCTGCCCACCGGTCAGGCCGTCTTTAATGCAGTAGTAGTGCGTCTCGGGGGCTTGATGGTCCTGATGCTGACTGTGGGACGATGGGCAGACGTGCTCCACATACTAATGTGTTTCCTGGGTGAGGCCAGCTGTTTAATCCCAAATTTGGATTTGCTGGATGCGGCATCCTCACAGGTCAGTGAGTGTCTCTGGAAGCAGCACACAGGGCCAAAAGCACTTTCTACCCATCAGGGACTAATAAACTAGGTCAGAATATCCATGTGTTGGTCAAAGTGGGCTCCAAAATAAGACTGAACCTCTCAAACTTTTTTCCCAGATGGGAAATGCTTAAGACCCCTAAGACAGATTTAGGCCAAAACGGCCTCTGACTCAGAAACACAGCCTTTTTATCCTCTCACTGTTCTGTTCTGCTGGTATGGGTTTAAATCAAAGTGTTTTCAGACAATGAGAGAAAGTGAAAGAAACGCCACTTTGCCCATGTTTTGTTTAGGGGTGGACCTATTCTGAAAAAAACATTTGAATATATTGATTGATGAAATTTCAAATTAAAAATAATTACAGAAATGAACAAAGTCAACATCATCTCATATGTTTTCCATTTGGGGAACAACAACATGTGTAATTTCATACTCTGTAATAAAAGAGTTTTCCTGTGAGGCAGCTTGGTAACACAGCTGTTGTCGTTTGTAATACTCATGTCTCGTGTGTGTCCACAGGATGAGGAGGATTATATTAACTATGCGAAGAGAGAGCGTCGACAAAGGCCACGACTACATGAAGAGCATCAGAGATAGACATAGTTAGGAAACATCCTATTCCCATATCAATTACAGTAAAACAATATTTTCATTCAAATGTATGTTTTCTTAATAATCTATGTGCATCTCCTCTGTAGTAGCCTTCTACCTGGAATTTACTCCATTGCACTGTGGTGTATTTTACTTTGTGGTTCTTCATGTTTGTATGAAGGAATACATGTATATTTAAAATATAACTTTTCTCTCATTATCATTTCATTAACACAGCCTGTAGGTGTCGATGTCATTTAGGGCAACTGAGAACATTTAAAAGATGTCTACTGGGAAAATAAAGGTTTTGTCTGCTTTTAGTGGCCTTTTGATAGATGGTCAAAAAGTGCGTTTTATATATTAAACAAGAAATATATTATTTTTTAGCCGTCATATCTTCACATGATCATGTTTTGATTCTAACAAAATCACAATATACGTTTTGTTTAGCTATTGAATAAATTCAAAGATTGCATTTGTACATTTGAATATCACAAAAGTAATTAACAGGAAAAGGTTAACCGTAAAGGTATTTCTAAGATCACGTATTTCATTTAAACAATACGATGACGAAAGAAGAATTGGAGCTCGACATCCTGAAACAACTGCTTAAAAGATGTTTTTCACAGTTCAGTAATATTTTTTACTGAATGCAGCAGATTAAATACACCCTGGCTGCACACGTCCACAAAGTCCAGAATCAGATAAAAATTATTTAAGTCAATCCGAGTCCGTGAAACAGTCGTTTTCTGACTTCCACTTCTGAAGTGCTTTCTTTTGTCGGTTACCTAACTGGCTCGTTGGAAAGAAAGCAAAATGGCTGACGACAACGTTACATCTACAAAGCTTCACAAAATGGCGTTTGACAAAGAAAAGACTAGGCTCTCACAGACTAGGCTAACTTTTCGTCGACGATTAGTTTTATTAAAAGTAACTAATCAGCGTTAATACAGTGTTTGCTTGATGACACCGGACTCGCTTTTTAACATCACAAGGGCAGTTATGAGACTTCGTAACCATAGAGCTACATAATCTCAATAACGTTACCCAACACTGAAGCCTGACTTCTTGTAACATTTTCTGACACCCAGATCGAATTAAATCCACAACCGACGCCAGTGTAATGCCCAACAGAGGTGTCTTTATTTTGGGCTGATGAAACACACAAACGTATTCCACGAAGGGCTTTTTTGTTATATCATTCCCGTATTTCCTTCACAAAAGTTACAAGGGGAGCACATTAAGCCTGAGGGTCCAGGTTCCATAGTAATCCTCGTTTGAAAATCACGGATGACGAAATTTAGTTTTGGTGTTTGGTCGATCCACCAAAATAGGAAATTGTACTCCCACAGGTTTAATAGTTTTTTTTATAATGTAATAAAGTTCCACAGGACGGATTCGATAAATATGGGAAGGACGTTCTCCTTGGACAACCAATTTCGGTGAAGCTGCTCGACTGACTGGGCTGTACTGGACGCCTCCTTTGGATATTTCCAGACTGTTCTGTCCTCATTTGATAGGCACTTGTGGCGCATGAGCAGAACAGCATCGCTTGTCCCCAGTTACCGCAGCTTGACGCAGGCGCAATGGCGTCTTGAATGCACGCTTAATATAGTAACAAAAGCAGAATGATGCAGGACCATAGATACAGAGCTTTTACAAACAATTTACTCCATTACAAATATTTTTTAGGTGCATACTTCCAAGCATGAATGTTAATGGGAGTGAATAAACTTAAAGCAATAGTTAATCCACCTTTTAAAAAGTGTTGACATTTATTATTTGAAATTCTAACTTATCTTTTCATCATAGATTTTTTATGAACAGGCACCATCTAAGAAAGAATTAACACTTTCAGTTTTAATTAATCCCTTGTCAATTCTTATCGCTACTTGCTTGAACCTTTGAACACAGGCCATTGTTTCATGTTACTTATTACCTAAGAGCAGAGCCCAGGCCAGGTCAAAGTTCTTGACTTAATAGCCCCTCTCTTAGCTTTATTTGTGTTGCAACATACTGTGTATTGCAAGTGCAAAGGATCATCTAAAAAAAATCAAACAAAACTGTGACAAGGAATTTACATTGTACATTTACCATCATCTCGATTATTGGTGTGCATTTAGTGTTGCTTTTAAGTTCTATTTTAAAATGGATCTTGTTCGGATATTGTTTACTGATTACAAAAACTTTTAATGTGGAAGATATTTATATTTCTTAGAGCAGATCTAGAAAAAATCATGACCAATTTCATGCGGGGGGGTGGGTCTCCACCCCCCCGCATGAACGTGCCAAGAATCTTCAAAGTTTTGAAAATGTTTCTCTTAATATTTTTGGCACTTTTAGTAAAAATAAATAAAAATAAGCATGATATCAGCCTGTTAGCATGAGAGTTGAAAAACTTAAAAAATACCATAGCATTTACATAAGCTAAAGTTTGATTATTGGTTAAATATGGTATTTTAAGCATGGAGAAGATTATTTTTTCTCTCAAAATGTTCTGAATGAGTTGTGTTGGACGGAGGTGTGATGTGTAAAGCCAGAAGGTAAAAAAATGGAGTCGGGGTAGACATAAATCATATTGCATGACTGAGTTTCAGTGGTAAACACATAGTCGATTCAAGTCCATGGTCCTTTTAAAACATAGATAAGAATAAAATGCTTCAAGGGTGGCCAATACGGCTTGTCTTTGTGTACTTTCTTAAAGCATACTGCCGTTGTGGACACAATGGAGTAAACACACATGGGTCTTCTGTCTTTTCTTACCTGCCAATGTTGACTTTCAAACCTGAGATTACCTTAAACAATGGTTTAAAACAGCTTCAACTTTGTTGCCTTAGTCAGTGCTGTAAAGCAAGGCTGCCAGGATGAGAGAAAAGCGGTTGGCGTGTAATGGAGAGCCAGAAAATCTCAGAGCTTACCAATGTTGCCACCTCATATGCCATGTTTAGTAAAAGCACACATGATGGTGTAACAGCATCTGTTTTTGGTCAGTGTGACTGAGTAAACATCAGCAAAAGCTGCACAATGTTTGTGAAAAGGGGTTATTGACATGCTTTTTACCAAGCTCTTTTCTGGGTAAGTCTTTACTGTCTGAAAGGATGTACCAAATCTGGCACATATTGAACCGCAAATGGAAATGTCCTTCCTCTGTGATAGGCCATTGTCATTGGTAAAATCCTCAAATGTCTCAAAACAAAGCCAAACAGTCTAGTTTGATTATACTTTACGGCATGAGGCGGAAATGGAATTTCTTCAAGTGGTACAAAAAGATCACTGCCAACCTCAAAAAGAAACACCATTTGTGATCTGATTCTCTGATAAACACAGTTCTGTGATCTCCAGGCATTCATTTGTCAAATATGAAATGGTATGGCGATGTATTTGACTTTGTTCCAGCCGGTTGCATTGTCTGTCTGCATACTGGCCTTGTGTTGGTCACAGCTGTGTTGCTGCTTCCATTTTTCTCAAAGTCTCTGCTTTATCTGCCAGAATCCTCAACATGGCCTTGATAACCTCTGTTTAGAGTCTAAATGAGACAGGGGGGTACAGTGTCATGTGGGACTCATTGCCAGTTACACCATGTTACACTTGGTCTTTGCTCTTAAGCAATAAATGATTGTCAGACAGCTATCTAAACAATAGCTGGGAATGTTAGATGCCCTAGTTACCTTTTAAAATATGGGCCAAAGTCTCAGCTGATAATATGGGCTGATGTTTCTTTCTATTGTACTCGATAAGAAATTAACCGCATTCATTCAAAAACTGGATACTCAATTTATTTTGAGTAAGTTATTTTGGCTCAAACTCCTTTGCCTTTCTGTTCTGAATTAGCAATGATGGGATCCTTGTTCGAGTCAAAGCTTCTCAGATGTCAGAGAACCTCCGCTCAACCAGGGGTTTTCTCACGCATGCGCACGGGGGGGAGGCGATCTCATCGGGGAGAGAGAGAAAAAAAAAAAAGAAGTTCTCACACAAAGCCACGCCTGCGCGGTGTGCCTCTCATTACAAGCGAAGTTGCTGCATCTTTTTAGGAAGCTACATGCTTTCTTTCGACACCCAAAGGTCGCATGGTGTCAGGGACGCGCCTAGTCACGGGAACAGACCGGAGCGCGTTCACGAGGAGGTGCAAGATCGCGCTTTTAACAGAGAACAGTATCAAACAGCGTGCGGGGAACCAACCCAATGGTTTACATTGGGTCACAACGACCAGTCAATGATTTGCGTCAAGTACCCTTTTTCTCGTCTAGCGCTTTTTTTTTTTTTTTGCAGATCTTCAGTATTTTGCACGGGGAGAAACTGACATAGCAAACTCATCTGTATGATCGGGGAGCAGGAGCACACAGTATGGTCCGGGAAACCAGACATTTATGGGTGGGAAATTTACCCGAAAATGTACGAGAGGAGAAAATTATTGAGCACTTCAAGCGGTGAGTATGAACGCCGTGAGGAGGCGAGTGTCTGGGCTGTGTGGATGCGTGTGTGTGTGTGTGTGTGTGTTGTTTTTTTGTATTGTAACGATGAGTGCACGACCAGCATCTCCCTGCCTCTGTTGTGTCACATTTTAGTGAAGTCGGGATGAAGCAGGAGGTTCCCCTGTAGCAAGAGTCCCATTTGGCAACTGTGTGTTGTCAGCCCTCCGCGAGCACGGTTGTGTGTTGGTGCATTTGAGCTGAGAGGAAGACACACACACAAAAAAAACACAAAATTGAGGCTTGCACGCCTCGACCAGCCAGCTCGCAAACATATGCTTTTCCGTTTTTTTTGCCTCCAATCGCCAACTTATTCGTCTGAGAGATAACTCAACGCACGTCCGCGTGCCGTGCGTTTTGCACGTTGGGCAGCAGGTACAGGCAGCTGACTTCCAGGCAGCCCACCTTTGGTCCCGGTCGGCGGGAGGAAGGCACCGTTTCCCCCCGGTGCGTAGCTCCTCGCAGCGGGCGGTCAGTGTAAACAAACCCCAGCCTACCTGGAGAGCCGCTGGCGCGCACACGCACGCACCGGCCCACATCTTTTTTGTCAGACCCTATTAAGTCTGCCGCCGTGCGTGTTTTTTTTTCCTGCCTGTCTGAGTGGGGTTTTCGTGTTCCACTTGACTCCGGGACTCGGTCAGGTCACCGCTTCCAGTCGGATTTGTGCACCAAAGTGTGCTTAATAACGGGGCAAAACCAACCGTGCACTCGCTGGTGCGTTTAAACGCTCTGTGGCGATTTGGGGTAAAGCAGATTTGGTTTTTAAACCCCCTTAATCCGAGCTGTAAATCAATGATAAAACAAAACAACAAACACACACACACACAAAAAAAAATCGAGCCATCAGCGGTGACGCGGCGTCCACGCTGCAGCATTGTGGCGTGATTGAGAGCGCGCGTGTTTACTCTGTGCGCCCGTGAGCGCAGTCCAAAAAAAACTGTCCGTCTGTGGCCCGGCGGAGCTGCTGGCAGGCTCTGGCTGACCGCAGCGGGGTCCGAGCTGTGTGTCGGGGGGGGGGGGGGGAGTCAGAACCGCGCGTCCGCGCTCCGGCTCCAGCCCCGGGGCTGCGGGGGGGCCAGAGCCAGCCCGTGCACAATTAGTTGGCTTTTTAAGCTCTTTGTTGTCTTGCTTAGACTGTAAAAAAAAAAGTAAAATATGTCTGTGTGTGTGTGTGTGTGTGTGTGTGTGTGTGTGTGTATGGGAGAGAGAGAGAGTGTGTGAGTGTGTCTGTCACGGTTGTCTGCGCGCTCTCGCGTTGGCTGTCAAGGAAATAAGAGCCCGCTCCTCCGTTCGTATGTGCTCGAGACCAGGCTGTCCAAAAACACTGTCTCCCCCCCCCCCCCCCCTTAGATTACATTTAGTTGCTATTGTTTCTCTTCCTGGCTTAGTTGACGTGGCAAAATTTGGCGAAAGTTGCGACGATCGCCTAAACCGGGATCGGGTCCAGGCAAAACATCCACCGAATGCACGGCTGGATGAAATCTGCAAGTGATGAACGTGATGCCTTTGACTCAGGATGAACAGATGCCTTTGAACGAGCCTCAGAAAAGGCTTCGTTGTCCGCTTTGCGCTTCAGAGCCACATATATACAGTTTTATTTACATAATCCCCTGGTATGATGTGCGTAACGTTTTGTTTGGGGGATGGTGAGTGGCAGCCTCATATTGTAATAGCAGAAGGGGGAAATGGTACCGACGGCTCTTTTTTTCCTCCCTCCCCCCTTTTTTTGGGTAGATTTTTTTTTCACACTGCCTCAGCCCCAGCGTTAACCCGGAGGTAGCCGGAGCGTGCAGGTGCATGACAGCCCAATGTGTGATAGAAGTCACTGAAGATGGGGGACGGCAGAATGAGTAAGCAGTGTGAACAGCCTTTCTAAAATGGCGTCGGGGGCTGTTCAATGTTGGGAACTGGCATGCCAATAAATTTATGGGTACCCTACTGTCTCTGTCAACCAGCAAACAGGCACTCCCCCGGAGAATATATGCATCCTTCCCCCTTTTTAAATTTTTTTTTTTATAATTGGAGTCTGTGCAGAAAGATGAGAGTGAGCTTTGTAATGGACAGACTTCCTTATGTGTAAAATAACCCTTGGTTTATGAAGGAATCTCTGGGCATTTGCAGATTGTTGAAGAAGAATTGAGAATCACTCTAAATATAGCATATAGCCTACATCCACCAAAGACTAAATTCAACCTGGAGTCTTATTTACCTCAAAGAATGAGAGGGAAAGAAAGAATGGTGTCTAAAAATGTAAATGTGCCCTGTTTTAATGTAGAGAATAATGAAGAGCGTCTGTCAGAGGCTGAGGCAGCATCCCCCACAGAGACGACGTGCCAATTTCAGAAAACATACGTATTTATTAACATGCAGCGTTCCAAGGTCCAAGTCCAGTTGCCGGGTTACCGTTGCCTTGAATCTCAGTGGAAAGCAGGAGTAACAGAACCACCTCGCCTCCCACCCCATCACCCACACAGCGCTCAGACGCACTCACGCTGACACGGTGGATTCAGCCGGGTGGGATTGTCAAACGGTGTCAACATCTGTGAAATCACACACAAATGATGAATGTTTTGAATGAGCTCAATGGGCATCAACCACGCACGTTAGAGTTTTGCAAACCTGGTGATCACTGTCCTTTTTCCTTTCCTTTTTTTTGTTTTCTCCTCTTAAATCCCAGGTATGGACGAGTGGAGAGTGTCAAGGTCCTGCCCAAGCGGGGTTCGGAAGGTGGAGTCGCAGCCTTTGTGGATTTTGTGGACATTAAAAGCGCTCAGAAGGCTCACAATGCTATCAACAAGATGGGGGACAGAGACCTGCGCACTGATTACAATGAACCAGGCACAATTCCTAGTGCGGCCAGGGGGCTGGACGATAGTCTGTCCTTAGGCTCTCGTGGCCGGGACGTATCAGGGTTCACAAGGGCGGCGGGGGGGGCCGTGTATGGCGCCCCCACGTCGCTTCACAGCAGAGATGGACGCTATGAACGCAGACTAGACGGGTAAGTGGACAAAGTCAAGCGTGGTTTCTGGTAAACACATTACCGCCAAGCATCTTTCCACCATCTATTCATTTACTTGTTGGGGGTTAAAGGAGGAGGAGAGGAGTTCATGCTCCACAATGGATCTTTTAGAGATCCCCTCTGAGATCCCGGAGGTGAGGCCAGAGCTCCTGGACCCGTGTTTGCAGGTAGACCCCGATGTGTTCGTACATGAGAGCATGTTTGCACACACGTGTACATGTTGCGTCAATGAATAGTCGGTAGTTTTAAGTGGCTGTTGGGGATTATCTTTGCGAGCTTAAGCATCTCTTTGAGGTGGATGTATCATTCGCGGCAAGCAAAGATTGGATATCGTAAAAAAAATTCCCAGGATTATTGGAGATTGCTGGAGAGAGAAAGAGAGGGAGAAAGGGAGAGAAAGAAACAGAGAGAGTGGTCCAGCGGCCATCCCCGGGATTCCCCTAATCTGGAGTTACGAGCTCTGTTCCGTGGATTAATGTCACCAATTGTGCCTCGCGTAACAAACCAGCCAAGACACCAACACACATTGCAGGTGTAAGGCACCGATGTTTGGATGAGTCTGAGTTGGTTTTCGGTTGTGGCGCTCACCTCACAGAGGTGCTGGCGTCTCTCGTGGGTCGGAGTCATGTGGATAACCTACACAGGATATTTGTTCCCCACTGTTGGATTAACACTGGCCACACGCGCGAAGAATAAGCTATCATGCTAAAGGTATGGGTTGCTTTCTCTGATTTTTCGTTTTTTTTTTCCTTTTACGTTTTTACCTTTTTTTATTTTTGTTGTTGATTTATTTTGGGATTATATCTAATCAGGGCATTACAAATTGAGCACTGGGAGACCTCTACTGCTAATCCAACTCAGTAGAGAACAGCCAAAAACAAGTGAGCAAAAGACTTATTTTTGTGGAGATTGTTTTTACTCTGCTGTGACTGATATCCGCTGAGGCATCAGCGAGGACTTTGGATCATACAAATCAGAGACGCATGCCGGAAACGTGACCGGGGAGACCAGTACCCTTTTTTCTAACGGAGATAACCTGCCTCGTGCCTGTGGATTACTGTCTCCTTTTTCGGAACGTGGAACTACATCACGGTGGATACAATTGCTGACTTGCACAGAACCAGAGAACTAACTGCACACGGACTGTAGCCACCAGGCTCAGAACTGTTCGGTCTCTCCTCCACCCCTTTGGATGAATACTCTACTACGATGAACATTAATCTGGATTACTTTGCAAGTCATCTTTACTCCTAATCTGCCGGGATCCGATTTTCCTCCTGGCACAGGGAATTTGACTTCTTGTGACGCCGACGTGGGTGCTCAGGACTTCAGAAAAGAAAGGCCCAGACTTTATTTTCCGCTTTTTCTTGACGCAGTGGAGGAATCAGAGACCAGTTTACTGAAGAGGAAACTCTGGATTTTCATTATTCTACTTGACTGCAGCACCTTTTTCTTTTATACCGTCTGTAGATTTAGATGGATGTATGAACTATGACCTTTTCCAGCCTACAAAGCATGTGAAAATGGATCGGCGACAGATCGTTTTCGTCATCTTAACTGAAAGAGACACTCCAGTTTATCTGTGGACGTGAAGTCCCTCCCTCCTGCGTAGAAGATGAGGATTATACTTTGAAACGTGACTATTTTTTTGCTTCAGCTTTTGTCTCGTCTCCACTCAACGTTTTTGCCAGTTTTTTTGCTCACAAAAGTTCTATCTCCCTAAATTGTATTTGGAATTATAGGTCAAGTTACCACTCTCTCAAAAGGTTGGTATGTCCTGCCCTGTGTATTTTAGCTGTCCTCTCTAACCCCCTAGTTTGAACCCCTGTCTCTCCATTTTCCCCACTAACCAAAGTAGTTGACACCTAGACTCTTAATTCTACCTGAATGTTTGTATTCAGAAATGATGTGTTGTTTTCCTTTCTCTTCCTCTCACCTGCCCCCACCCTCAGCTCCTGCCCCTTGCTCTCCTGTGTTTTAATAGATTCACAATGCAGCTGCTGATGAATGGAAATGGGCCTTTTTAAAGATCTAAAACAGCTTTAGTGAAAAAAAAAGAAAGCATCCATCCAGTAACTTTTTTTTATAAAAAAGCTCCCAAAAGGAAGGGGAAAAGACTTTCACTTCCCCATATTAGTAACGGGGTGGGCTGCATTTAGACAGTGAGAGTAAGGGCACAATTAACTTTAAAATGCTAAATAAAGGAATAAAACGGTTAGTGTTCCTTTTAAAACTTTCCCCAAAAACGAGGCCGTGAGATGAAATTTAGAAAATCATTGTTGAATGTGTAGATCACTTATCACTTAGATAGTTTCTGGAGAGATCCTCATAGGGAGGGATTTTCTCTGGACGTGCCATTTCTCTGGCATCTTCCTTTTTAGGGGAAGGAACAGGAAGACGGGTGCTGCCAAGCTGCAGCCTGAGACTGGATTCTCAGCCTTCGTACAGTGAGCCTTTCAGTCGGTTTTTATCAAGCGGAGGATGACAAGTGTGTGATTTGCAGCTTCCGTGGTAGCCATCCCTCTCCTCTGAGCCTCGCACACGGCAGAAGGAAAGGTTGCAAGTCATCCAGCTCCACTCATCCATCTGCAGTCTCCGTCTCCCTAAATTGTCAGTTTGATGGATTACATTGATTTGGAATCCGTTCACTCAATTACCGCAAAAACAAACACTCCGACTTTATTCGGTCCATTTCCAGATTCCCTTTGATTTCCGAGGAGAATGTTGCACGATGCCTTTTTTACGTCAGAAATAGCGTTGTAAAACGGAGGCTCCATGGTTTGCCCGTTAGGGGTGTTCAGTCACTCAATCTGTTTGTGTTCAATACAGAAAACGTATTTAGCCATCTATTGCTCATATTGCTCTTAGATGAATCTGCACATATTGCTCCCATATGACTGAGCCAACGTATGGAGGAGGCTTTTTTTTTTTTTGTCGTGCTGCTGGAATGCATCCTCATGATTATTCTGCTCACGCAATCCAAAAAAAGCAGTTGACGTGCTCCGCATGCACCAGAGTTGACTAATCATCATATAGTGATGGAAATTCGGTCCAAAAGGAGTCTAACTGAATTATTTCTTAAGCTCTATGAATAATGGAGAAGCTGATTTGCGCAAAGCAAAAATTGAAGGGTATCTGTTGAGCTGTGGGGCCGTGCCACCAAATTAGCATTTTTGGAGAGCATCTGGGGGTCAAGGTAATCCATCAATTTCACAGCACACATCCTTCTGCCATAGATGTTATTCATGAATCCAGCACGCCGAATCAAATAAGCCGAAACAGAGTTTGCCCCCAATCTGTTGTACATTTATGGATAGTGGAGCGAAAAGACGCGCCGCTTGTCTCCTAAACCAATTTACCCTCCACATACAGGGCGGTACGTAAAGCCCGTGCAATCTTTTGTCTTTATGCCCTTTGGCAAGAGCCTCTGGTGGAAAACATCACAGAGAACAAAGGCTTTTTTTCTTTTTAAAGGGCGGTTTTAGTGCAGGGGATTAGAGGGTCTTTTCACTCATCTAAAGTCCTCTCGATTTTAGCCGTAAAAAGTAGGTGTTAGCTTTAATGGCCAGTTTGAGGATCATCTCAGAGATCTTTGTTCCAAATAGGCTTTCAGGTCCTCGTTGAGCACCGGTGGTGCAGAGGAAGATGATTGTGTGATATTTCCTCGGAGAATGGGCAGCAGCCCTCTCTTAACACTTATTCTGGATGGTTTCTGAAGCCGACCAGGATGCGGGCAGCTCACCTCTCTGCGCTTTTGAAAATAACGAAGTGGCTCAATGAAAATCTGCCTATTATTGCTTTGAGTCACCCTGATAGGATTTAGATAAAACGTTTTCATTTCCAGGTATCAGCTTCCATAGAAATGGTTTATAAATCTGTTTTTTTTATCTTCTTTTTATTTCATCAGCAAATAATTTACAAAGGCATGGATTTGAAATTCAAAGTGACATTATTTTGGCTGGAATGTATTAATGTGAGAGGTAAGAGAAAATTATGGTAAAAAATTCTAACCACTGGCAGTCAGAAGGTTCCCTTTAACAAAGATCTTTGGCTTTTTATCTCCATGTACGCCGTTAAGCAACGAGCAGGTCACAAAGCGAATAACCTCTTAAAGGAAAAAAAGGGAATCTTTGATTTTCCAACTAATTCAAAGATATTAAAGATTTAGCTGCCTTTCAGTAGCCTTTATGAATGAAGGAAAATTGTATAAACTCTCTCATGGGAATAAGCTCCAGTCCCCCACAGGCCTGAACAGGATAAAGCAGGTTTGGGTGGATTGATGGATCCGCTAATGGAATAAGCTGGATTTTCACTCCTCTTTTCTCATATTTGATATCTTGACCATTCCTCTGTAAGGAGAGGGAAGGTGTAATTCTGCCGAAATTTAAGCTGCGATTACACTGAGCCCGCGTGCAGAGAGGCTGCTACAGCTGCACTCGCACCACGATCAATGGAGCTGGCTCCGGCAGGCGTGGGAGCAGCTGAGAGCCGATGCAGCGCAGAGATCCACGCTGCAGATGCACAATTAGGTCAGACTTAGGCTAGTTACTTTTGCTCCAGTTGTGCGCGTTTTTTTCTTTTTCTTCTATTAATTTTTAAAACTCAACTACTACTTCTAAAAGGAATTGTGTGTATATATGTATTTTTCCAGGCCCACCGCCAGTGGCTCAGTGAATCTCACCCCTTCCACATCCCACTGTGACCTGTAGACTGTAACTTGGCCTAATCCCACCAATTCGAAGCTCCACAAACATGTTTTTTGCACATTGCCTTTGACCCGCACAGTCGTACTGTACATGTGCTGCCAAGGCTGACATCTAATAAGCAACTAATAACCCCAAACGTCTGTTTCTTGACCTCGTTGGAAAACGGTGTGGGCCTAAGACGGTAGGAGAAATTCAGCTGCACTAAAGCTACACTTACAAATGGCTAACAAAAAGTGCTTTAGAGGCTTCATCTAATGCATCCTATCTAATTGTTTTGAATAAGCTTAGTCATCGTATAACTAGAAGACATAAATGAAAACCATATGACTAAGAAAAAAATCCCAGGGCTGCTCTCATTGACCCCCCCCCCCCCATCCACATATTAGTCAATACAAATAATTTGGTTAGTGGTAGTGATGGAAAAAAGTCGAGTGCAGCTTTGCATTTTGCATTCGCTAGGAATTCTGGGATAAAATTATCTCATTTCTTCCATACCAGATGGTGCAGTGTTTCCTATGTCAAGGCAGATAATAAGAAAAGCCCCGAAGCTTCTGTCCTTTTATCATTTCTAAAATAAATTCAAACTTCTCTTATCAGGGCTGGCGCTTGAACACATCAGGGCCGTTTCATTCAGTTAAGAGTCTCCCAAAGCGAACAAAAAAGCCCCCCTCAAACAAAAGCGGTCCTTTCCGTGGTACATGTTGCATGTCCACTGCATCTGAATCATTCAGCGTAGTTACAGCTTTCTAACTTAATTATTTGAAGTACGTTGATGAAGATTTTGCGATTTGTGGATGGTTATGAATGATTGTGTGTAGAGGAGAGTGGGGCTTATCTTTTTCCCACCCATGACTCACACTGTGTGTCCGTTTTGAAATATTATTCCGAATTTTTTAAAGCAAGAAATGTAGAGAACCATACACCTTTTTTTAAAAGAAAACATTCATAGAATTTGCATATTATTTAGTGTGATTCGTTCCTCTTCATTGTTTCTGGATAAAAAAACCCAAGATGCTTTTTTTTTTATTTTTTATAAAACTGACTGCGCATCATAACAGTAGATTTCCCTAGTCCCTAATCCCTAGTTTAAAATGTTTTTTTTTTTTTACACTCGCAATTTTTCGGTTCTCTTGTTTTCTTAACCAGTCAAAAAAATAAATTAAGATAGCCTCTCATTAAAATGACCCTTTTAATGAGGAGTTTCGAGTGTTCTACTCAACCACTTTGGGCCCGGTGGTGGAAACAACACGGCTAATTTGCTGATTCTAATTTGATCTGAGCTCATACGGCTGTAATTGCCGTCCTGTAAAGTCTCATTATGGCTTAAGCAATATGACCGCTGCAATGACACAGCGCTTGTCACTAAATGAAATTCGGACTGCGGCGTTCAGAAAGAGGATGTTCAAGTCTGAACACAATGTCCTTATGAGCTCTGTTTTTAATGCACGTCCTGACAAAGAGTTTTGTTTTGCCAGAGGGAACGAGGGATGCCAGATCCTAAAAAATAGGCTAAAAGGAAAAATCATTAAAGGAGCCTCCTAGATTATTGATTAAATCCCTCAAAGTGGCCCTTATAATTGTGGGATGTTCCATGACTTGACAGACTTAGAAGACGAAGTCTGTCATTCTTTTTATTAAAACTGAGTTTGCTGAGAGCTTTTGGATTGAGCTGCAGACCTCCGTTTCTTTATGCACCGCACGTCCTTTCTGCTGACAAAAAAATCTATTTTTTTAATGCCACGTTTTTTAAAATCTGTTTTTATGCAGTATGGTTCTGTTTTTCATACAAGAGTAACATCTCGGTATTGTCTCTGATGTTTGGAATTCATTAAAAGGGACGCATCTGGTTTCTGAGATAATCAATTTAAATCGAATTATCATAAATCTTGTGATAGGATCTAAAAGTTTATAGAAGTGCATGAAAGATGCTTGACTAAAAGATTTGTTTTTTTTGTTTTTTTTTACTCCCATGAAAGCAGAGAAAACAGATGTTTAATCTACAAGTCATGGACACCTCAACAGAGCAGGCATGAAAGACTTGATGCCGATGACGTTTCTTAACCAGTCAATCGTTTAAACCTACTTGTAGTTCAGCTTCGTAGGGCGGTGAAGAGATCTCTTTTAAGATGGGGGATAAAAAGAAAGGAAGCTCTAGAAACACTTTGCTCTGTCTTTCCCTGTGTCTGATCATGACAGGCCCGCCAGATGCCTGGTGGATCTTAGTCCTGTGTGTGATGCCAGCACCTGTCTGATGTGACTCACCAGTACCTGCAGAGTAACGTTCTGCCTCTTCCTGCTCCTTAGGACCGCCGAGAGTCGGGATCGGGCCTACGACCACGGGGCCTACGGACACCACGAGCGTCCCGGCAGCAGCTTCGACCGGCCGCGGCACTACGACCCGGACTATTACCGGGACGCCCGGGAGAGGACTCTGAGCGCGGCGGGCAGCGGCTCCGGCTCCTCCGGGGTCAGCGCCGCCGCCGTGCCGTCGGGGGCCGGGACCATCGCCGGCGCCGCCGTCGGGGCCGCGGGAGCCGGCGGGTCGGCGGGGGCCTCGGCGGGAGGAGGAAGCGGGGGGCCGGCGCCGGGCGCCGTGGGCTTCTACCGCTCCCACAGCCGCAGCCCGTGCCGCTTCGAGGCGCCCGAGCCCCGCTACGAGCCGCGCTCCAGGGAGGCCTTCGCTCTGGCCAGCGTGGTCCACAGGGACCTCTACCGCGAGGACAGGGGCCGGCGCGGGGAGCGCTCCTACCGCCACAGCCGCAGCCGCTCGCCGCACTCCACGCATTCCAGGAACCCGTCCCCCCAGAGGCTGGCCAGCCAGGCCGCCCGGCCGGCGCGCTCCCACAGCGGCTCCGCCTCCCGCAGCCGCTCCTCCAGCTCCGACTCGGTCAGCAGCACCAGCAGCAGCACCAGCGGCAGGTGAGCGCAGCTTCCCGGTTCTCCCCCCCCCATCGGTTCGACGCGGCCTTCGCAGCCTTGCAGTTTCCTAGACACGTTGTTATCAGCTCCACTGGGCCCCGCGGAGATATGCAACTCTTATTTACATGGAAACCGCATCTTTTGACGAGCTGATACTTGTGCAAGATGCATAGTTTGTCATTTCCGTCACTGGTTAGCAGGGGTTCTTATCCAGAACAGAAATTAGCTCAACTTTTCTCATTGCAGAAGCTGTGGTTTGTATTATTGGACGGTTAAAGATATTGCATCTCTTTAGACTCCGTCCTAATGTCCGTTTGAAGGGAGAATGAGGAACTTTAGATTTCTGTAGCTCGAGGCACAGTGTACGGTTTCACTTAGACTCCACCTGACGGGTATCCGCATTCTGAAAAATAATCATTTAAAGACAGGATCATATATAGGAGACGATCCTTTTTTCTGGCTGTTGTTAGCTCCCTCGGGTGGGATTATCAGTGAATTGTCGCAGCGCTGTTGGATGAGCTGTTGCTGGTTGGAGCCAAAGGCAGAGAAGAGACCCTAATGAAACCCTTTTTGTGTAGTTAAGATGTGGACTGGACTGAGCTTCCCTGTCCTCCTCTCCCCATGCTTAATTAGCTTAAATCAGCTTGGGGAGCGTGGTGCTTTTTGGCTGTTTCTGGTTGCCTTCCTTACGGCTGCTGATCACGTTTCTCGTATTCCATCCCTTTAATATTTAAACGTAGATTTCCCTGCCTGTGGTTTGAGTCAAAACCAAAATCCAAGGTGTCACAAATGGGGACAGTCAGCCTCACGTCGCCTCTGATTCTTGTTGGTTTTGTATTTGACTTGCTAATTCAAGCCGTTTATTTGACGCGGGTCTGTTTGCACTAACTATTATATTTTCATTCAGGCTCTCTCAGATAGACTGTCAGATGTCAGAGCTCTGCCCGTTGGGGTTTCTCTCACTAAATGTATTTACTTAACTCCACCCAGGTTGTTATTTTTTCCCTTTTTTGTTGGACTGCATCACCTTTGGACACAACCCTGACATGTAGCGACACATGTGGTTTGATGAGGAAGTGCTGTGGGGGAGATTTCAGGAGACGGCTGCTAGATTTTCTCACTGCCTACCTCTGTGTATGGGTAATTGCTCCCCCCCCTCCGTGAGATCCAGTTGGAACTGGAAATTTCTGGCCAGTGCTGGCTGCCTGCCCACTCCCACAGGCCAGGCTCTGTCAGCGGCACTTCCGGGAGAGTCTGAGCACAGGAGGAGAAAGTGAGAAGGAAACAAACAGCAGAGGGCCTAGGAAACCTAGACAGACATGGGAATGTTTTGAGAGGGAAGGTGCGCGAGGCCGCCTTCAGCTCGCCACTCGTGCAGATCCTTTTTCTGTCAGTTTTTTAATGCAGACGACCAGATGCACCACATAAATATCAAATGAGGAAAGGGCTGACAAAAAAAAGGCACAGAATGTACCATTCACGCCACATTACACCAGCTTTTGAATCGGAAATGTGTGTATGATTATGTATTATTTTAACAAAACACCAATCGTATCTCCTTTTAATCCATTGGCAAAAATCACACATACATAATCATTATGGAATATAAGATGAAACATGTGTTGGCCAATCTGTGCATGTTTTCTGCGTCGTGCAGCATGAAGCGCTGCACAAAAATAATTAAAGGTGCTCTGTCACACGTATTCATTACTTTTGTGATTATGTCTGAGGTTCTACAATGCACTTGTACCATTTTGTGGAGAAAATGCTTCGTTACCTTGTTTCAAGCCATTCTAGCACCGTATAGAAAGGCTGCTGGAAGACGCCAGTTCTCATGAATATTCAACATGGTAATCTGCTTGACTCTGATTGGCTAACAGCTACCAAATGAGAGCCTGGCTATCTGCTTGAGGAATTTTGTTTACTATCGTCTGGAATCGCTGCAGAAATGGCTTCTTCTGATATATTGCCATATACATATACTGTATATATATATATATATATATGACCCTGAATCTGAGGAGGAGACAGAAGCACCACAATAACTGCAACCAGATCGTTCAGCCATGGATGTGTCTGAATGGTCATTTATGTGCAAGTAAACCATCTAACAAGTGACACCAAAACGTAGGCTAATAAAATGTTGGTGGCAGTCAGCAAGCGATGGTGCCGCTCCAACAGTAACGTTATTATCCTCTGCTGAACTCGCCAAAGTTGATGAAGTCACTCTCTTTAAAATGTGATCAACCGAGAGTACATTTCGAATTGTAGTGTTGTGGCATTTTTCCAAAATTAAGCTGAAGCCATTTGGTCCTCAACTCTGGGTCCTTGGGCAACATGTGCGTTGTTGAGATTCTCTTTGAGCATATCACACAAGAACGGTCGAACATCTTCCGAGGTAAAAATGTGGGTCTCGTCATCTTGCGGTTGACGTTGGGTCCCTCTTTTGCCGTAGTGATTCTAGCAGCAGCTCAAGTGACGACTCTCCAGCTCGCTCGGTGCAGTCTGCTGCCGTCCCGGCGCCCTCAGCTCTTCCCACATCGTCCCTCGACAAGGATGAACCGCGCAAAAGCTTTGGCATCAAGGTCCAAAATCTTCCTGTACGCTCCACAGGTTGGTTTAATGGATTTCTGATTGTATTTCTAAAACCCATTATATCAGTTAGACAGCTTTCTTTAAGGGGATTTAGTGGAGTCCCCTTTCTCACGCTTTAATCAGTGTTGCGTTTTTTTTTTTTTTTCTACAGACACAAGTCTAAAGGATGGTTTGTTTCATGAATTCAAAAAACATGGAAAAGTTACGTCTGTCCAAATCCACGGGACCTCAGAGGAGCGGTACGGGCTGGTCTTTTTCCGACAGCAGGAGGACCAAGAGAAGGCCCTGGGAGCATCAAAGGGGAAGCTGTTTTTCGGCATGCAAATCGATGTCACAGCCTGGAATGGCCCTGGTGAGTTTTGCTCTCCGGCCGTATGCACAAATGAGGGCTTTCAAATCCACTGGCTCACAATCTGCACTTTTCAGAGACGGAAAGCGAGAATGAATTTCGACCCTTGGATGAGAGGATTGATGAGTTCCATCCGAAGGCCACAAGGACGTTATTCATCGGAAACTTGGAGAAAACAACCACTTACAATGACCTGCTGAATGTCTTTCAGCGCTTTGGTGAAATAGTGGTAGGTTAAAGTTGGTTGAGAATCTGCCTGTGTGAAACAAGAACGAGAACGACTGTACACAGAATGCCTTTGCTTTTGTTGTCTTCAAAGGATATCGACATTAAGAAGGTGAATGGAGCCCCACAGTATGCTTTTCTACAATATTGCGACATTGCCAGTGTCTGCAAGGCCATAAAAAAGATGGATGGCGAGTATCTTGGTAACAACAGACTAAAGGTGAGCTCTGTGTAGATTTCATCTGAAATTAGCTGTCTTGTCACCATAGCACAGCGTTATTGATGAGAACTACTTGTAGATGATATTTAAAAAAAATAATTTTCATTGTTTTTTTCACAGCTGGGCTTTGGAAAGAGCATGCCTACAACCTGCGTTTGGCTGGACGGACTGGCCTCGAACACAACCGAGCAGTTTCTTACTCGCCATTTCTGCCGCTATGGACATGTTGTCAAGGTAAGCTTGTTTATTTTTTCCTCCTCGCAGCCCTCTTTTGTTTCCATTCATCTCCTTCATTTTTTTCCCCCTGGTCCGCAGGTTGTCTTTGATAGGATGAAAGGAATGGCCCTCATCCTGTATAACAACATTGAATATGCACAAGCTGCAGTCAAAGACACCAAGGGGTGGAAGATAGGAGGCAGTAAAATTAAGGCAAGAGAAATGTAGCTTTCCGCAGTCATATTGATCTCTCGGTGCTTGATAGGCTTCGACACTGCAACTGAATGATCTGTTTCTACTTCAGGTGGACTTTGCAAATCAGGAGAGCCAGATGGCTTTCTACCGCTCGATGCAGGCATCTGGGCAGGATATCCGAGACTTTTATGACATACTCTCTGAAAGAAGGTTTGTGCAGTTTTCTGAATACGAAACGCTTTTGCCTCCACGTCGTTTAATGCTCGAACTGAAGTCATTTCGATTCGCTTTTTTTGCAGGGATGATCGGCGAACCCAATATGAATTACAAGCAGAGAGACAATACTATGAGAATGTACGAACACCTGCAACCTACAGTGAGGATCCCCGACGAAAGTACTCTGCAAGGAGTCGAGAGTTCTACGCCGAGTGGGACCCATATCAGGCGGATTACTATGATCCACAGTACTTTGAGGACCCGAGGGAATACCGGGAATACAGAGCAGACCCTTATGAGCAGGACATTCGCAAATACAGCTATTTGCAGCGGGAACGTGAAAGGGAGAGGGAGCGCTTTGAAACCGATCGTGGGCGCGATCACGGGCGGAGGACCATCGAGCGTAGCCAAAGTCCATCTCACATATCCACTCGTCGCCCCGCCAGCCCCACGGCATCGCCCTCACTCTCTGAGAGGGTACCCAGTGATTCAGATCGGCGAATTTGTTGCCGGTCCTCTGAAAGAAGTGGAAGCTGCAGTTCAATCTCCCCACCTAGGTTCGAGAAGCTGGAAAAGGCACGATCTGAAAGATATAATAAGGCTGAAAAAGGGGAGAAGGATCGGGTTTTTGACATTGAGAGGGTGAATCTGGTTGAAAAGGAAAAGAGAACTGGGCGAAAAGATAGAGGGGAAAAGGACAAAAGCGAAAAGCAGAGGCTCAAGAAGCTTAAAGTCACATCACCTGTCACCCAGCCATGTGAGACAGAACCTGAACTTGAAAGAGATGTTAGCCCTGAGTCTGTTCTGCGGAGCAAGACTACTAAAATATCAAAGGAAAGCTCTGGCAAAGGAAGGTTAGACCTGCTCCCTTGTGTGGTGCAGTTAACACGCGTTAAAGAAAAAGAAGGGAAATTGATCGGTCATGCAGTCCAGGATAAACAAATACAGAGGGGTGGGAATGACAGTCCTAGATTGGCATCACCTACAGCTGACCAGAGGAGTCCTTCATTCCGCCCAGAATCATTAAAAGGTGACATCAGCAAGCATGGGAAAATGCCCAGAGACAAAAGTCTGCACGGCCTGGTGGAGGTTCCCGACAAGGAAAGCAAAATCAAATCCAAAAAACACGGCAAGTCTGAAATTGGATTTGATAGTATCATTTCTGTGGATATTGACCGTTTAGCTGCAAGAAAAAGGCGTTTCGAAGACTCTGGGAGAATAGATCGCCAAAAAAGATCAAGTGAAGAAGACGCTGGCCGACCTGGACTTTACAAACTATGGAACAATGCAAAGGAGCCTGACTTAGAGAAGAACCTTTTGATACGAGGAATGCACAAGAAGGAACACCACAAAGATAAATGTGTCCGGATGACGTCAGCCAACAGTCCTAAAGATGGACGAGACAGTGAAAGCAACGCTGTGGGTCTCCCTATGGAGGGCCAGTCTCATCTCGGGGAGCTGCATGATGATTCTGTGGAGAAAATGGGCTCTCCCTACTTGAAAATGGATTTAGAGAGCTCAAAATGTGAAAACAGTTCAAGCCTCACAAAAATATCAGACGATGGCAGTCTTGATATGGATGAATTAAAGGAACATAAACTAGTTTTGTCTGAAAATGATCAAGGAAGAGCAAAGTGCAGAGACTCTGATGGAGATGAACATTTTGTGAACATTGACCAGACTAATATTTGCACAAAACGAATTGAACAGAGTCAATGGCTGCGATCCAAACTCTGTGATCCCGATAAGTTAACCAAGTTTGAAAGATCACCGAGCAGCGAGACTTGTGATTTTGAAAAGAACCTCGTCATGCATGACGTTGGGAAATCAATTCAGGATATTTCCACGGATGACTTCTCCTTAAGTAAGCGGAAGAAATTTGGGAAATTTGACTTTGAAGTACTCAAAGTAAAACGAGAGGGCAACTTTTCCCAAAAGCTGAACGAGGACATATACAATATGCCGGCCTCTATAGGAAGCGCGCAGTTTTCTGAAAACGAGGAGGATGAAACTGCTCAGATCTCCCTGTCAGTTACAAAAAAAGAAAGGAAATCACCCCCAGCAACAGAGAAATTTTCACACACAGAATCATTGAAGAACAGTTTGGCCCTGCCGGCCAGACATTTTCAGTCCTCTGACAACGAGCTCTCAAAGCTTAAAACATCCTTGCTTGGGTGCGATGATGAACTATTCCAACATTGGGAAAGACGAATGAAGTCTGACTCTTTAAGAATGGAAATGACATTCCCAAGTGATATTTCTAAACGAGAGAACATCCGCAAACGCATCAGCCAAGATTTGGAACCTGGAGAAGTGCAGTCTGATTCTGATGATGATGGAGAAAGTAAGCACATCTCTCCAAAGTCAAGTAGTTCCTTGTCATATATCCTCGGGGATCGAGATGAGAGGATCACAGACCTCAAGCTCTCTGGCTCCTTGGAGAAAAATAAGTTTTACTCATTCGCTTTAGATAAAACAATAACTCCTGATACAAAAGCACTCCTGGAAAGAGCCAAAACTTTGTATTCCTCAAGGGAAGATAATTGGTCTTTTCTTCCCTCGCGGTTTCCAGCCTCCCACAGCTGTTCAGATAAGGACAAGGCAGAGCTGGCACCGCGACCTATTCCCTCTTGGTATTTGAAAAAGAAAAAGATTCGCACTGACTCAAACGACAAACTGCATAATAAAAAAGAGGAACTCAAGCCGCAGGACCAAGAGCGCCAGGAGTTATTTGCCTCTCGGTTCCTGCACAGCTCAATTTTTGAGCAGGATTCCCGGCGACTTCAGCGTCTTGAACGAAAAGACAATGATTTTGAACATGGAAGTGGTAGTAGGCCTCTTACCAAGGTAGGTGCCTCTGAGGTGCATTCTGAATCTGGAGAGGCAAACGTCACACAAGAGCCTATAGTTCTTTTCCACAGTAGGTTTTTGGAGCTTCAGCAGCAAAAAGACAAGGAGCCTCCCTTCACTGACTCTGAGAATGATTCAGTTGTAATGGAGATTAAAAGAGACGAAGGTCAATCTTCTGATAATATCATGTCTGATAAAGAATCTGAGCCAGCAGGAAAGGTTAACGACAAACCAGCCAGCCCCCAATTAACCGTGTCAGTTTCACCATACCTTCCCTCCCCAAAAGAAGCATCTCCATCAGAAAAGAAGGAAGTTTTGACTCCTTCCTCTGATCAGCCTGTGTCATTTGTCAAAGAGGAAACTGTGGAACCAATTCTGGAAATGTCCCCATCTCAATCTTTTCCTGCGGAGGACTCGAAATCAGCAGCTCCTAAACTTAACATCACACCTACGTTTACGATTTCAGAACCAGAAACGGAAATAAAAGTTGAGTTGATTGAACCCAGAGTGAAAAGTGGTGATAGTTTGGCAGTGGAACAAAATCCTGTTGTGGAAGATAAGCCTCCCACACCTGGTGGTTCCCTAAGTGCCTTTCAGACAAACACTGCAGAAATCACACTCTCGGATTGTACAAAAGTTGAAGAGAAACCTGAAATGATTAAGGCGGAGTCTGAAATTGAAAATCAGGAGATAAAACACTTTGAGGAATCTCCGAGCAAAGAGATAGAATGTGTGCCGTGTATGCCGGAGCTGGAAGCTGAAATGAAACCATTACCAAACCGCAGACAGCCTAAAGGTAAAAGAGCAAAACCCCTGTCTGTGCTTCGTGCGTCACAACCAAGCCAGAATGTCAGCGTTGAAAAGCCGGCAACTCGAAAAAGTGAACGCATTGACAAAGAAAAACTCAAACGGGCCTCGTCTCCTCGAGCAGAGGCGTCTAAAATATCTTTTGAGTCTAAAACCACTTCCAAGTCACCAATACATGCATCGGATTCAGAGCAAAATCTTGAGTCCAGTTTGATTCTCGGGAGAACACGGCGGAGGAATGTGAGGTCGGTCTACGCCACGCTACATGAAGACGAACAAGCGGGTAAAGACATGGCGGAGTCGGCACGCTGCACGCGGAAACGTGGCGCTGACAAAGAACCAGTGCCACAAGATGCACCGATTCCCACCAATGCCAGACGAGGACGCCCCCCTAAGAGAGGCCTCAAACGAGCTGAGGATTTATCACCTCTAAAAGTAGAGCAAAAGAAAACAGTAGAAGTGGATACAGAAGTCAAAGAGACATCCAGCACTGTGGAAGCTGTTAAAGCCTCTGAGGGATGGCGCTCACCCCGCACACAGAAACCGCAACAAGCACCATTAACCTCATCTACTTTGGTCAACAAGAAAGGAAGTAGGATAGACAAATCAACTGGGACTAAGTCAGTGTTAGCTGAACAAGCTAATTCAACAAGTCATGATGAGTCAGAGCTTAGTGCTAAAGCTGATTCTGACCTTTTTGACAAATTATTAGATAATGCAGACACTGCAAGTTCCCCTGTGCACAGAAAAGAAAAAGATCCAAAAGATTCCATTGGAAAAAAGTCTTCTGACGCTGATAGTGAAAAAACAGACAGCAGCTCCTCTGAGAAAAAACAGCAGAATGAAAAGAGTATTAAAATGAAAGCCCCGAGGCTGAAACGAACTACAAAGCAACTCACCGAGGACAAAGCACACAGTTTAAAAAATCTTGAGATCCGTGTTAGTGTTGATGATGTTAAGAGTTTGCTTCGTGCTGAGGACATTGAACCTGAGACTTTTAAAACTGTTACGACAACAAAAACCAAACCAGGAGTGCAAGATGGTGAGGGAACACAGGTTTTGGAATTTCCAAAAGATTCCAAAGAGTACGTTCCACAGGAGAAAGAGGACACCCTATCAGAACCTGAACTTCCCGTTGATCCAGCTGCAGTCCTGTTAGCACAACAGATGGAGCTAGAGCAGGCAGTGGAAAATATTGCCAAACTTACAGCTGACCAACATTCCCGACAGTATAAGGAGGCACCCCCAGGACCACCAAACGCATCTACCCCTGTCATAGTGGAACCAGAAGGTGAGGTTGAGGAAGAGAAACGAGCAATTCCTGAAATTGAAACTGAACTTGCAGCTGCTATAGACTCCATTACAGCTGAGGACATCTGTGGAGATGGAGATGGATTCACAGCTGCTCCTACATACTCTACTCATGTTCCCACCCCAGACTCTGTAATATCGTCTTCCTCATCCTCCAATGAGATTATGGAACCTGAGACACATATGGTGATCAATAATATCCTTGCAGGGGACCTTGATGATGATTCTCGGTCACCCAGTCCAAAGGGGTCCGTAGTAGAATCTAATGCACCTGAAGAGCCTCTTCTGCTTGAAACACCTAAGAAAACCGGCAAAGTCAGAGCCAAAACCCCTAAAAAGTCAAGAAGTCGTAAAGGTGCAGCTATCAGAAAAGCGGATACTGTTGAAGAGGTTTCTCAACTCGAGCCTTCCCCTGTTAAGTTACCCGAGTCAATCCCAGATGATCCAGAATCCATTAATTCAAAAGCAGCTACAGTGACAGCTGGTGACGCTGCTGCAGCTTCTGTTGTCACTGCTGTGGCAACTTGTAGGCGGGATGTTACAAGTTCTATAACTGTTGACACACCCAAAGAGGCAGAGCAGCCGGAGGTCGAACAGCCTGTGCCCAAAGAATCTGCATTTCATTCCGACACAGGCAATATCTCTGCTTGTAAAAAGCATCCCCTTTCGCCAGGGCCATGCACTACTTTCAGCCCTGTGCGCTCTCAGCCACTTACCCAGTTCAGCATGCCCCTGGTCCGACCTGCCAAAATGCCTCTTTCACCTGACTGGCCTCAGAGATCTGAGGAAAGCAGAATCTATGTGGCTCCTTCTTGTCATGTAACAGTGGTAACTCCCTCTGTACCTACATCAACTGCACTTGGAACCCCTTCAGCAAATCCCCCAATGCCTCCTGACACCAAGGCTTCTGATATTGACCTTAGTTCCAGTACTTTAAGAAAAATCCTAATGGAACCAAAATATGTGATGGCATCAAACAGCAATTCTATACCTACTACTAAAATCACAGCTGCGCTGTCAGAGCATTCCCGAATGTCTGAAAACGTCAGTGAAAATCTCTCTGACACAGTAGGTTCGAGACAGTTACATCCTGAAGAAAGGACACCTTTCCCAACCCAGCCCGTACATCATAAACCATCTCCCCTGACAGAGTCCCAGCAGAACTGTGGAGAGAAGATACAGCATACAGTTATCTCTCCTACTACCTCAGTTATAAGTCGAATTCCATTGCCTTATGACACAGAGGAAACTCCTCGAATTTCCTTAAGCAACCGAACCCATGGCTTGCCCATTCCAAAGCAGAAGTTTAGATCCAACTCCAATGAGAATAGTCGCTGCCTTGGCATGGATTTAGTCGAGGATGGGACTAGAGGGCGCTCGGTTGTTGAGCCCACCCCCTATCAAACAGGCTCCAGTCCTGGCCTTAGGGTCAATACATCAGAGGGGGTTGTTGTTTTGAGCTATTCTGGTCAGAAAACTGAAGGACCTCACAGAATGAGAGCCAAGATTAGTCAGATTCCTCAAGCTAGTGCCGGCGATATTGAGTTCCAGCAGTCTGTGTCAAAATCTCAGATAAAGCAAGATCCACTGATCACATCATCCCATTCAACTGCTCCAAAAGTTGCTCCAACATCTGCAAATTATGGCCACACAGGAGTGCTTTTGACAAGTCCATCTTATAATTCTCAACCTGTCATTTCCAGTACCAAGCAGGAGAGCCTTGGGTGTGACAAATCTGAAGCTCCATATCACACATCATCTCAGGGCGTAGTGAAGATGTTCCAACCACCAGTGAGTTCTTCTCAAGTGCTGATGTACAACCAAGCTGTGATTCAACAGCAGCATGGCAAGAGGGGAGTTGTGACAGACCCTCTTCCTAAAAAGATGGACTTCGGCAAAACGGTTCAGTCCAACCGAAGCCCGATCATGAGTCCACACCACCCATCACTGTCGGGAACCCGTGGAAGTCCGAGCCCTGGCATGGCAAATGAGCGCTCAGCTCTACACCTCAAGCAAGAACCACAGTCTCCAAGAACAACTGTCCAATCACCTTCACCTTTTGTCAAAGCCTGCCCACCAACCAGCTCTCCCATTGGAACATCTGTTGTTCTCAGTCATGGGATGCCGCCAATGTCTACGTACCACTCTAGTGTGCATCATTCACACTCTGAACAATCTTCTGTGATAATTCAGCCTCACAGTGTCAGTCAGTCAATGACTCATGAAACCAGAATGAATAACCCACCCATGTCTGGGATAAACTATGGAAGGCGAGGAGATTCTCTGAGTTCTCCACACCCAGGGCCTCCGCAGCGCTCAAACACGCCACAGCCTAATGTCATTAGAGACTTGGTTTTGCAATCTCATTCAAATCCTCCTGGATCGGTGTCCGGTATGGGTAGCAACAGTGTAAATGAAGAAGAGGCCAGACACTTTAACCAAGCTCTTAGTAGACCTTCAGTTTCCCAATTCCAATCGGAAGTTATGATGGTCCACGGTGATCATAGAGGGCTCCATCCAAGCATCCGCATGGATCAGTACAGAGACATGCACCAGCGCATACTCATGCACCAGCAACTGGGAGAACAGGCCGCTGTGGAAGCAAGGCAAGCCTGCAACTCCGAGACTGGAACAGCTTCTTCAGGCAACATCTCTGGACCATCAAAAAGTCCTTTATTAGGAAAGAACATTGATCTTTCAGCAAAAGAACCTTTGAAACCACTCGAAGGAAAACTCTTGCATCCAACCTCCAGCGAAAGTAGAATCCGGGGAGTGCATGCATCCAGTCCCGTGTTGGTGTCTCCTCACTCTCATGGTGTCCAGCTGATGCATGCTGGAGGGGCCGGCTCCTTTCCGGTATACCGGGACATGAGAGGCTTCCCGACGCAGTTTTCTGGACACAACCTGGCTAACCAAGGCATTGCATCTTCACAGGTAATGTGCTATGCTTTTGCTTTTTATTAATTTGTGGGACTATTTCTGTATATGCTTAAGTGTAAAATTTTCAAGTTAAACGTAACATTATGTATGCATTTATCTTTATTTGTGGTGTGGATTTTTAAAATCAGGCTCCTTCAGAAGCAGAGCTTGGCAACAGAGGAAAAATGTCTCAGTCACATGGGGGAGGAAGCGACACCAAACCTGAAAGTTCCCATCTTCGTCATGCTGCCTCGTCAGAGATCTCGCATATTTCCAGAATCCAAAGCGATACAGTCTCACCTTCATACCAGTCTCCCTTGATGTCTCCTATGGGTCGTACGCACAAGCCAGACCTAACTTTACAGAAAGGCCCCCCAGCCTTCCTCCTCACGCCTCCCCCTTCAGCGCCCTCGTCGAGTTCCCAACAGTCACGGCACGATAACAAGCTTGAACATACAGGACATCGATCCATCGACATGGTGCAGCTTTTGACGGTAGGGAGACCCACTAGTGTCATTAGACGGGATTGAACTACAAGACAATTCCAAAGAGGGCGGCATGCTTAAAAAGGCGATCTGTCTCGTTTCTGTAGAGATATCCTATAGTGTGGCAAGGCCTGCTGGCGCTGAAGAACGACCAGGCTGCTGTCCAGCTGCACTTTGTGTCTGGCAACACCATGCTGTCCCAGCGCTCCCTGCCGCCTCCGGAGGGAGGTTCTCTTCTTCGTATTGTTCAGAGAATGAGACTCGAGGCTTCCCAGTTGGACAGTGTGGCACGCAGAATGACTGTGAGTGTCTTGGTTTTTATAAGTCTGCAATAATCACATCCTAACTTAAAGGAATTGTGTTTTAAGTTCATGTGTTCGATTTGAATGATAGATATGATATTGGAATTGCAGGTGGAAAATGACTACTGTTTGCTCCTGGCCCTTCCTTGTGGACGAGACCAAGAAGATGTTCTTGGTCAAACCCAAGCCTTGAAAAGTGGCTTCATCACTTACTTGCAAGCCAAACAGGCAGCTGGCATCATAAACGTGCCCAACCCTGGCTCCAATCAGGTTTGTATTTATTCAGGGATTAAGTGTTTTTCCTGTCTGTACGTTTAGCTACATGTATGTGATAGTGAACTGCTGTGTTGCTTTTCACATCGTACCATTTTCATCTCTCAATATCCAGCCGGCCTATGTGGTGCAGATTTTCCCACCGTGTGAATTCTCGGAGAGCCACCTTTCGCGCCTGGCCCCGGACCTTCTCAACAGCATCTCCAGCATTTCTCCTCACCTCATGATTGTTATTGCTTCAGTTTGATTACCTCCATTTTGTTTTGTTTTTTTAACAAAGCCGACACCAGCCCTTTTGAACACTTTGGAAACTGGAAATGCCTCATATTTTTATGAGATTTACTTAAAAAAAGAAAAAAAAAACTAATTTATCTTGGACTCATCCTTTCTCCTTCACTTCACCAAGTCCTTAATTCACCCAGTGATGAAGAATTCCAAAAACTATGCCCTTTTGGAGAGGATACAAAGAGTCAAATGGGGATTTTTGATGATCATTACTGATTTCTCCTCATTTTTTGGCCATTTTTGGAGGTGTTGTGCACAGCCTTTTGTAGTCATGACATTCATAAAGCTGTGGATGATGACCTTCCAATGGGATATTTTTTACCTTCATAAAAGTGATTGTGTTTTTGTTCTTTTTTTTTAAGATGATGTGAGATGTCATTGCACTATGTTGAACTTTGTACAGATTTGATTATAAAATGATACATGTTATGAATTTATTCTTGTGAACATTCATGCTTGTGGAGTCAAGAAATCATTGCCTGGAAAATGATTGAGAATCATTTTAGCATCATCAGTCATCCTGCTTTGGCTTCTTCACCATCAGCAGATTTTTATGTCATTTTCTGGACTCGGCTTCCCATCGCAAAGTGTTCCCTACCCCAGGAGCTCGTGATGGGACGTTAAAGAGTTGTACAGTTTACACTCAATGCCTCAACAGGGGACTATATTAAGAATATTTAATTTTTTGTCTTCATTTTCTTTAAAGCTAATGGTAATGTGGACAGTGCTGAAACTGTAAATATTATAAATATTTAAAGACCGAAACCACACGGAGAGACCAAGTTAATTATTTTAAAAGACAGATCATGAACTATTTGTTTCTTCATCTCTGTCCTGTTTCTCTTTCTGTATCTCTTTGTATTTATTTTTTTCTGAATTTCTCTTTGGGCCGGGAAAGAATGTGGAACAGCTTGATGGACATTTGCAAAAAGAAATAAAATACAAATTGATTTTGTGCCAAAATATCTTCTGCATATGCTCAACAAACTTATGTATGTAAAACTACATGTGACCAGAATCTATTTTCATATGTGACTTTTGTATTTTTGCCATTCAGAGGGCACATTCACACTTTGTTTAGTATCTTTTCTGTTATCGGTATTGTTCATCAACAAACTGTTGTTTCGACAGTACTTTTGCATAATGAATCTTTACGTTCATTTGATTGATTTTTTTTCTCCGTTTTGTGCAGTATGGCCTTCTTTTCTGTGCTTCTGCCTTCATCTCCTCATGTGGTCCTGTACTGCCCCCTGCTGTCCGAGAACCAATCTCCCCCACGTGTTAGGAATTCATACAGATGTAATTTATGCCACTACGTTGTGTCTGATATGCTATGGCATGCTTTATGTTCAGATCTTAAAGGGTAAGGTAGGACCGTAAAGGCAAAGAATGTGACTAATACTTGACATCGTGCCGCTAATGGATGTGTCAGTCATCTGTTTCCCTCCCTCGTCTCAACTGTCTGCTCGAGCCAAGCTGTAAATACTAATGTCCTCGATCTGTGCTCCTGTGTGCTCCCCCCTCTGCAATTGTCTTTTCTTCAGGGTCCTCATTTTTTGTTTTGTGCAACAAAACAAAGCAGTCTGAAAGGAGACGGGAGGCGATGTGTATGAAACCGATGCTGAAAGTAAAACCACGCTTGTCAGTTTTGTGGTGTAAATATTTCCATGACTGCAAGCTGAAAACTCTCATGGTTATGTTGAAGGCACTTATAATTTTTGATATACAAATGATAGAAAAAAAAAACAATCTTTAAACAGTGATTAATATGAAAAATGTCTTTTGATCAATCTTCATTTTGAGTGTATTTTGCTGTTCCTCCATGAGGACATTTTAAACTGTAACATAAATGGTTGTTTAACTTACTTCTGAAGATCATTAAATGGTCCCTAACTCGGTGTTTGGTTTTCCTTTTTGATTTGTTGATTATGAATCTGATTATATTTGAAAACTGGTGATGATATGTAACCTTCATCTCATCTTTCCAGCTGGGGAGCCTCATGCCTCTGGCATATGTGGCCACATTTTTCTAAGGTCTCCTCAACTAACTGGTTGAAAAACTTCACTTGACACGCCTCTGTTTGTTCAATTCAGAGCTGCAGTCACTTCAGCCACCCGAAGGTGTCAGTATCGGATTAAACTACAGGCTGAAGGTTCAAACCAGGGCTACCAGAGTGGTAAACTGCCATTTCACAGCACCGTGAAAAGGAACCGCTCTTGAGTCGGGCTTTATTTAGACATGGTGTACGGTCCGATGACACAATATGGCTTATGCATGTATGTGCACTCTCCTGAAGAGAACCTTTGCTGTTTGCAGTTCGCAGGATTATACAGTTCTGCCACATGGGTCCCCTTTATTTTCACTCAAATAAGACAGCAGAATTCTTCTTCATCGTCAACTATTTATTTGAACAAGTTATTCAATGAGTAATTATTTAATTGAATTAATTTAATTATTGGGTGAAAGTAGATTCCCACCATTCATAGAAACTGATTTTTTAGTCGAATAGTGTGTGTGTGGTTGTTTGTCTGGTTTGCCCAGGTGTGATTCAACTTCACCCACCCAGCGACCCTGGAAGTGATTGTCAGTGGATGGATATCTGACAAGAAAAGATAAATATATATATATTAATGGCTCTGCATCAACTAATCAGACACACTTTGCACGCATCGATAACATACAGATTAAATGTGGCTTGTCTGCTTGATTTATATAATTGTTTTGTCATTTCTTATCATTCAGGTGAAGTAGGTTTACCCTCATTCATTATACTATTTGATGCCATCACAGCTGTTGCAGTGCTCTAAATAGAAGTGCCAGTGTATTTCCAGGTTTACTGTCGCAAGTAACAAACGTTTGCTCCCAGTTGTTGGATCATGATACAGTTTGGTTTCTCATATTGATGATGTATTTTAAGGTGTCTGCCGCTGGGTATTTTAAGTGAGGTCTTTTTTTTCTTTGTCAAAGGGTTGATATGTACTTCTCAACATTTTCACCTCAATATTTTTACCATGTAGAGAAGTAAAAACTGAACCAGTTTCTTTGCATGCTGCTCTGGACCAGAAAGACCAGTCTGCTCTGGCAAGGAAGCTCCACAAGTGGGCTGGGCTCGAATGAAAACCTGAGAAAAATATTCTGAGAAAAACGTGCCTTTATGCTTGTGTGCATGTCGAATTGTTATTATCTTTTATTTGCTTTCTAAACACGTTGCCCATAAAACCCCTTGAAAAACAAATCTGATGTCATGAAACGGAAAGTGCGTAAAACGCCCGCACAGCCTCAAATGTGAAACAGCTAAAGTATGAATGTCACTGTTTCCAAAAGCATCCCTGTGGCTGAGTGCTGAAATGGAAACGGGGCACTTCAAATGAGCACCGTGGCTGTCAAAGCTGTAGTTAGAGACTCATCCCTGGAGGCAAACATCTATATAGTTTTGGGAATTTTCAGACTGTGGCTGGAGCATTTAGGGTTTCTGGCTGCTCTGGTCCAGTTAAATCTGACATACAAGCCCCCCCCCACCTACTGCTGGAGACCTGTGGGGATTTAATGGCATTGAAAATCTATTTGGGAGCGTTTGATGCTCAGCACTGGAGTAATTTTAACCCTTTTTCATTATTTCTTGGCAATATTTTCTCAAGTTATCCTTCAAGAGCAAATGGCCAGACAAAAGTCAAATTGAACTCCAACACCTCAGAGGCTGCACTGTACAGTCAGTTATTTTTTTTACAGTTCCAGTTACAAGATTAGATTTCCATATATTTTTGTTTAATCTGTTATTGAGGCATATATTCCACATTTGTTCTCTCAGTACTTTGTACAAATATAGCTTAAAATGTTCGATTGTGGCTGTTTGGAGCACTTCTAATGTTCAGATTTAAAAAATAATCTGTAAAGGCTGTGTATTTTCCTCAATGTATCCCAATCTTTTACGTGGACATTTCATATTTCAGTGAAACCTCTCCTAAAGGAATGCAGTGAATGTTTCTGCATTGTGGTATTTATACTTTTACTAAAGTCAGGGATGTAAATTCTTCTGTCACCGCTGCAATCAAATGCCGACAGACTGTTTATCTTAGTGGTGAAGGTCTCAAACATTTTCTTTCATGTGCCCATCCAACTGCCTGCAGTGTGTTTTATGCCTCCTATAATTTTTCATCGTCATCCAACAGGTCTGATCCAGTGAAGCACGGCCATGTAAACAAAAAAAAAACCCCAACATGCGACAGCTGCTGCATGAGTTGGCGAGGAGTGCAGAGGTCATGCCCGAGCTTTGTTCTTCTGCATCTTGTCATTATGCCTATACAGTGGGAATAAATACAAGCAGAAAAAGCTGAGGCAGAAGTGATTTATAGGTGTCTGACAGGCCAAAACTTGGAATGTTAATTGACACCCCGTTTCCAGCGTGAGAAGAAGCGCGTTTAACTGGAGCATGCCATTAAAAAGCGGAGACAAGGGAGACTTCCGCTCCCATCCCTCATCTGATTAGATAATTTTTTCTAAGTCTAAGATCTTCTTTAGAGCTGAGACAAGGAGGACTTGTATGTCACTGACATTAAAGCAGACCTCATCTTATTTCTGAACCGTTATCCTCTTGAGTTCTTTGCCACAGCACGACATTTCAAAGGACCCAGTTTTAGCCGGAAAACAAAAAAGAATGCTGAAAATTCAGAGGCTCTTTCTTCAGACTCCGATAAGTGCTTGTTTTCTTTGGTGCTTTTGGCAACAAACCCGCCACATTCCACCCTGGTGTTTTGACAATTTGTCCTCACATGTGTGCACACAGAAAACCAGCAAGAATGTGATTTTTAGGAGAATCTCTTTTTTGAACGCCTTCTTAACTGTTTTAAGAAGTTTAAATAAACATGGTAATCCGTCTGGTGACTCATGCAGGTGATTCAAAAGGCAGCGCTGCCAAATCCAGGGAATGGATCTCCAATGTCAATTAAGATGAACTGAGACTTTAAGGGTTTTTTCAGCTTCTGAAAAAAAATGGATTAAGTTAATTTTTCCGCTTACCCACAAATGGTAACCAACTATAATAATGACAAAGCAGAGAGGAGGTCTTCGTGAGAAAGATCCCACAAGTGTCTCACACATTTCCTTCTGAAAAATATAAACCAGCGACTTCGAAGCGCAGCCAGTTTCTCTCCAGAGAATGATGGCCTCTGACCAGCCGCTCTACCATTAGGGCTCGACTGATGGAGTGCCGCTCTGATGACTGTCCCTCCGTAAGGTTCTCCCATCAACACAAAAGAACCCCGGACCCCATCCATCATAACCACAGGCTCGCTGGTCGCCGATCTGACCGACCGTCCCTCGCCTTGTTTAACTGAGCAGATCTATAACGTCTGTTTGCGGTTCCAAACTTCTTCTTTTAAGGAAAGATGGAAGCTACTGTGCTTTAGGGCCCTTTAAATGCTGCGGAAATATTCTCCAATCCATCTTCAGATCTGCACCACAAAAACACTGTTAAAGATGATAAAATGGCCAATGGCAGAAACTGTCTCACTAATTTATTGTTTAAAGCAAAAAGAAGCTTTGAGGTGTTTAGTAGAGGAATTACTGAACAGTTTTATTTGTTTTCAAGCCTGCAGAACACTATCTTTGGATAATTATTCATTCTTTAATGCAAATATATCAGAAACTCTTCATTTTAACCTTGAGAATACAAATGTCAGTTGAAGAAATTTATCCTTTAGCCTTCTTAATCCCTCTTGGGCCCAAGAATGGTGTTTTTTAAAATAAAAAACAGTTGATTTCAGAGCAAAACCAGTGCAATGACAGCCTCTCTCATCGGTGGATGTTATTCCTTTAGCTGGGAGGCCCCTTTTAGCCCGACGGGTCTAAGATCAGCTAAGTCCAGCGATAGGCTGACGCATCTGACGAAAGACTTTGGATTTCTCCCCATCTTGTCTTGGATATTGCATTAACTGTGAGATTTTGTGCGCAGACAGGGTTCTGCCTTCTCCATCATGTCCAGTTAAAGCCACCGGGGACAGAGGAAGGTGTTCACCACAGCTCAATTGTGGGCATAAAGACAGATAGCCCGAATACTCACAGTAGTAAGAAAGCAGACTTGCATTTTAGGTAAGCATAACTCATTTGCAGACCATCAAACCATTTTTAGATGGGCCGGATAAAATGTGCTTCTGAAAACCCTCCATCTGTGGTGTGCATTAAGTTTTTCTTTTAAACGAACAACTGCTCAGTAGGATGTTGTCAGGCTGTATTTCTTGTCGGGGGGCCTGATCCTTTATAACCGGCGTACACGTTGTAACA